AAAAAATTCAAAGCACTTCTAGCTTCCCACACACATTTTGCATACGCATATGGCCTACGTAGTTTTTTAGTAGTAAAATTTATTACATTAAATTTGTTTTACACTGAACATATTTTTTCACTAGATCTTATTAATGTTCTCAAAACATGCGTTCAATAATTAGCTTTATGTCGCCAGCAGAAGTAGAAAAAAGGACGGACTTGCTTTTAAAAGAGATTTAGCTCCAGCTATAAACTTTTTAAAAATCTGTAGAAACCATTGACTGGGATTTTTTTTTTTATATATTGGGCTAGTATTTATTAAAGAATTTTCTTTAAAGAAATTTCTAGAATAATATAGAACCTATAGATGTGTACAAATGTTTGAAAAAAATACTCATCGGTTAAGACGAATTGATATAGATCTAAGTCATTGTGTAAAAGTAGGAGAATCTAGATCTAGGTGTTTGATAGTTCAGTAGCCTAGATATTTGATAATAAGTTGCGCATCAAATTTTTGACCGCATGCTACAGTAGTGAAGATAGCGTATTATTTTCGTCCGAAACATTAATTTCCGCATCCATACACCTTTTTGAGCCTTTATAAGCACATGTAGTCCTACTTTAATTATGTTTTTGTTTTTGAAAGCATTTTCAATTCCTTTCACTTTCACTTCCCACGCGCTGGCACATATAATTATGATTATAATTTAAGATTCCAAATCTGACGAATGTATTATTAAATAGGGTATAATGCTGAGTTAGCCAATGCATTGCAATGCGCACTATTATCAATTGATCGAATTGTAACAAGACTTCAATTTGATCCGTAACAAGAGACCACTTATTTTTTTATACGTGTTCATGAATGTGTGTTTGTTTACTGTGTGCGGGGATTAAAAATTAAAGATTAAAGATTCCAGATCTGACGAATGTATTTATAAAATAGCGTAATAGTGCTGGGTTAGCCGATGCCTTGCGATACTTGCTTTTATCAATTAATTGATTTGTAACAGGACTTCGATTTGATCCGTAACAAGACAACACTTATTTTTTCTTATACGTGTTTAAAAATGTGTGTTTGTTTACTGTGTGCGGGCATTAAAGATTCCAGGTCTGACGAATGTATTTATTAAATAGCATATAGGCCTATAGGGCAGGGGTGGCCAACGCATTGCGATACGCACTTTTATCAATTAATCGAATTGAAACAGGACTTCAATTTGATCCGTAACAACAGACCACTTATTTTTTCTTGTTCGTGTTCCAAAATATGTGTTTGTTTACTGTGTGCGGGGATTACAGGGGGACAAGCCCATCCCCTCGACATGTGATCCAGAGTATGGGGATACATTTTTCTCAAAATGCACACAGCTCTGAAATCCTTGACCAGTGATCACTCGCCATGGAACTCTTTCTGTTGTGACTGTAGACACAAGTTTCTTCATTATCACATCTGAATGAGCCTCTCATTCATGCATTAGAAATCACACTCCCAACACACAGAAAATGACTTTGAACATATATTCAGGAAACATAATATGCCAGTTCCACTCTTATTTACTTTGTTTTGCATTATTGGCTTTTATGTGTAAAACAATATTTAGAGGCCTTTTCTGCATTTTTGTGTTTTTGGCAGCATGTACAATAGGCCTATGTATTTTATGTGCAACCGACACATTCTCCAATCGTAGATCTAGATCTAGTACTAATCAAGACTATATCTAGATACTTTTCCAACAGAGTTAATGTTCATAATTAGTGTTATTATCAAGTGTATTGTGATTGTGAAGATCTTTAGTAGATCTAGATCTAGTAGTAGATCTAGAGATCTAGATCTATCTAGATCTAGATCCCATCCCATCCCATCATTAAAAAAACAACAACAAACCAACAATACAGATACAAAAACATTGTAACATTGCCAATTATGACATATTGTTGGCAGTAAAAATGTACTAGACTATTTCACTATATTTCCTCTTCGAAGAAAGTTTTAAAATACTGATGTAACTTAATGTAAGGTGTCTTCCAAGCCCTACCACTAGCATCAGCGTGCATAGCAACGCGAAGCCTCGCTGTGCGGCGCAGCCAAAGGTGCCCTCAACTGGCCGCCATGTTTTAGTTTCAATTCCTCACAGCGAATCGGCGATCGCGAAGAGGGAGTTCCGCTTCTATAAGTGTAGAATTCTGTGCGTGCACATTAAGCTATCGCATGCTGAAAAGAGTCAATGGCATAGAATTTTATTTTTATTCTTTTTACTTGTTGCTTTGATTTCTAGTACTAAATTTGTTTGTTAGCTAAACATCAATTTCGTTCGTCCTGTATTGGAACTGAACCCTCAAGTAATAACTTTCACTACTCCACTACAAAACCATTAAAAGGCACAACTCATAGGGCCGTCACGTTCACCTCCCTCAGGTTAGCGGTCACAGAGTCACTTAAAATAGTGGCAAGACAGACAATGAACCAATCACAATTCGCTTGAGCACTCCGCTGGATTGCTCCGGGGCTCACATTATCTTGGCAAAGATAATAGCGCACGGTCTATCGCGTTTATTTTTAGACTACCTACTGCGGGCTATGTTTCGGCACTATTCGGCAGGAGCACATTTGAGATGTGCCGTCTTATTAATATTAATGCACCGCCTAACTCGCTACGAGTGTCGTCATCGCTTGGGATATCCCCAATAGTGATTTATAGGTCAGGTTACACTGTTGAATATCCTATTATGTTTAGCTAAAGTGCGTGGACTTTAGCATGGCATAGTAGATGCTTCACGGCGCTATAGACACATAAATGACAGTTATGACGCCAGCGAGGACCATGTTTTGATATGATATTTGGTTAGTGTTTGTTTCTGGCTTCTTTTATTCTATTATTGTGGGTGTTTTACGTAAAAGAACATTAAACAATTTTGGGCGGCACTGCACGACCGTGCTCAAAGGACGAACCGCGCCTGGTCTCACCCCCGAAAAGCCTTTTTTGTTTTATCACGAGGGTGATAAAATCAGTCCTGTTTGATCCTCCACACTTAATTAAGAATTAGAAACAATTTGTTGATCTACCACAATTTCTGAGGGCCTAATCATCATGATGATACTGCGAGCTGGGCAGTTATTGAAAATTTCTATGAAAAAGACAGTGCCTTAAAGGTTTATTCAGGGTGGCACCCAAGTTAACCAACTGTGAGTCAAGTTTTGGATAACAAGGGTTTGTTTGGCTGTGCACGTGCTTAATCGCAGTGTATCAAAAGCAATTAAATTGGGACATTATATGTAGGCCTATCTCGGAATTTATCCTTTGTCTGACATCGCTATATCTGATTTTTGTAATGACTTTTATGATCTTTTCAGCGTTTTCATTTGGTCACTTGTGTCATTCTCTCTCGAATATCGTAACCCAGTCACAACTACAGCGCAGCGCCATGAATTTTTGCAGCAGACACTTCTGTGGTTGAAAGATAATTCATGAAGTATGGCCCTGAAGACAAAAAGAAAGTTACAAAAGCATTAATATGAGTCAGTGAGTGGATCCACACCATCACTGCTTTGCAAGGTCTTGTGACAGACATTGTGAGCTGCAATGGGGGATTACTTACAGTGATATCAAGATGAACTTGAACATCTGTTCTCAATCACCATGAGAGGAAAAGGTGGACATATTTCTTGACAATCCAGACCCCCCCCCCCCCCCCCACCCACACACAAGTTACATTTTCGTTTGAAGAGACAGAATGGCCGACAAAATTATGATCGCATCGCCTTCAAGCAGTTGCAGGGATGCAGTGGATAGCTTTTCGATAAATCAAAATCTAACGAGTAAGAATTTCAGTTAAAAAATAGTTGCAATTCCGGTAGACCTTGATAAAGAACACAGACACATTGTTAATGTTGTTTAATTTTGCAATACATTAAAGATGCAATGCACTTAAAAATGAAATTTCTGACGTAGAGGATACACTTTGAAGAAACTTTATGATGTTAGTCTGCAAGGACTGTACAGGGATATTGGAAGATTCCTCTTCTTCCCATGCAAGGCACCTGACCCTCATCAGCCAGAAACAGTTTGAACATTATTGTCAAGGTGGCTTGAAAAAGCCAGTTTTAAACTTGTGGTATTTGTTGGTTTGTTTGAAGCTGGTTTTTTTAAACCTTTGATGAACAGAGTGCACAGTAGACAGAATCTAAATTTGAAAATGCTCCAGGAGCCAAATGTAATTGAAAACAAAGGCGATTCCTGCAAATGCAATACAGTGGACTATGAGTCAGTGTATATTAACGTCACACTGCACGATGATCTTTACAATTACAGTTTTACAGTGCAGTAAAAAATTCGTGGCGCAACTTGTCCTCCAACATCTCTTTAACGGGTTAATGTCCTAAACTTTGCACAGCAGTTTGTACTGTATCAAATTTATCTTAACGTATTCATATTTTTCCACAATTGATTCTAGATTTAAAAACGTATAGACTCATGAATTGATATAAAATACTCTAAAATGTGGTCAACTTGTCACCCCACAGCTCGTGTTATAGTAACACTGCCTGCGTGTGTGGTGTGAGCTCATTAATGCGCAGAGCAACGCGCACAGTCGTTGACCTCGATTCTTCGATAGCGCACAAAGGCTGAAGAAGGATTGCACCGTCTCGGTATTTACGGGCTCTGGGCGTACGGATACTGGATAGGGTTTATTAAATAAAAAGAGTCCTACTGTCTGTTGCTCGAGGATCTGGGTCTTCGACCATCTCGCCTCGAATCTTGAATTCAAAGCTCGAAGACTCAGACAGTATGTGAAACTTCAAAGAGAATATGCACGAAACAAATAAAAAGAGTGGGGTATGTTTTGTAATATAATTTTGGAAACTCAAGTACAAACTGCGCTAGGCCATACGGGTCTTGAAATCCACTATTATAAGTCTATATAAAATATTGTTGTAGATGTAGCCTATACTGTACTGTTTATCCCCACAAAGAGAAGCTTGTCAACAACCGTTTATGTTTTTATTTAGACCTAGATTTAGTTCCTTTCACTACTTCCGGTTATTGACTGGGCCTAGTCAATGACTAAATAAGTAAGAAGAACAACGAGCAGTGAATGAAAATAGAGACTTTATTTTTAATCAAAAGCGGATACAAATCAAACTGTAAGCACGTTACAATATGATTTCTTATTTTATTTATTTTAATTGGGCATTACATTCAAAATATCCGTGTAAATTGGAGAAAAAAAAACCCAATAAACGTTTGATAGGGGAAAAATGTCTTATCATGATGGGTGTTGTTTACAGTTTTTTAGAAGTTTATTAGTTTGGTCCTTGGTAGAAATCTTGATTTCTAGATCTAGATCTAGTTAGATCTAAATCTAGATCTAGATTCTAGAATCTAGATATCTAGTCTAGATCTAGAATCTAGATCTAGATCAGTATGTTGAATTGTTTTCTCGTAACTTGTGTGACTGTACTGTAAGTGTTTCTGTGTAGTGTTGTAAGTGTTGTTGTATTCTAGCCCTCATCCTGCGGGAGCCGGGTTTATGTAGCCTGATAAGCCTATTTCGGCACCTCGCCTACGTTCTGGTCCCGAATCAGTGTAGCTCCTGGCTCAGCGCATGCGCAGCGCGCGTCCTCGTACGTGTCATTCGGGTCCCGAGTTGGATCCCCATTCACGCAGGTCAAGTGTGTGTGCGTCAGTCTGCTTGAGTTTGTGTGCTTTTGTGGCCTTCTTCTAGAACCGCCTGCGTTGGTTCGTAATCGAGGCATACGTCTCATTCAAAACATGCCAAGTTGGTAGCTCTAGATGTTCGTCCAATGAAATTATAGAAGAAATTGACCCACTTAGACATGAGGAGCTGAAAAGGATAGTCAGGAAACAAAAGACTTCCATTTTTCTATACAAAATATTTCAAATGAGCTTGATTTTGTATGAAATGATACTACCTGATAAAAAATAAGCTTATTTGATAGTTTTGTATACCATTGCGCAGGTACAAAGAACAATTTGAGTGTAAAACATTTGGAAATTGACCTAAATTATCCCCTTTCGAACCTCAGCCTCAGGTCATTCATAACAACAAGAAGAGCGTCCAGAAAGGTTATTCGAATGGGCGTAACTACTCGTAATGTCTTATGAGCTTGTGAGAGGGGGTTATTCATGTGTTTGTAACACTTTATAAATAGAAAGCTATGAAGGATAGAGCGTTATTTTCATCATCAGTTAACACTCTCCCTCGGTATTCATGGCGAAAACACACGTTTGCCGGCGCACGGGCTGTACACCAACAGTACACACTGAGTGACTCCGGCGGCCTGCCCGGCACGTCCGACGCAATCGGTTGCTGATAAGATACGCATCTGGGCACAGACGCAGGATAAGAGCTGGAATCTAGAGATCTATCTGATTCAGGACTGAATGGTTGTTGCATCACGAAACTGCTGTTATCATCAGGACTGTTCATCATGTGTTATCATATGCCACAAGCAAGAACTCAAAACAAAGTAGGCCTAGGCTATTTTAACAGGAATTCCTAAAGTATGTTGACTCAGATCTTTTCTGCTAGATTTTTAGATCTAGATCTAGATATCTAGCACAATTTAGCCTGCCTGCAGTGCAATCAGCAATGTTTTTGTATACTGGGTGCCCATTGGTATGAATGATTGGGTCGGGTCGGTTTGCTAGCCATATTGAGGGCTCAAATCGGCTATCGTGTGACATGCAGCTAAATGTAAAGACGCATCTGCCTGATTGGCTGCTTATTTTAGTAATGTGATGTCATCACATTCTGAGATACCCACAGACTATTTTTAGAAGATTGCGGAGAAACCAAAGATTCTCTACTACACTACTCACTACACGATCTTTGGAGATACCGCATGGAACGACATGTTGGGTCAGCATCTTGACCTATTATAATCCGTACCAATGTGTTTCGCACGCTAAAATTTCACACTTGCGGCTAACTGCAGCACGTCAGCCATGCTCTGGTGATGGAAGATTGCTTAGATCGTTGATGCTCAGAACGGTATGAACACTGATGCTTGAAATTGAAACACGGTAAACGCAAAGACAATAAAGCGCGCTAAAATTGCTGTAAAGATGCCAGGAGATAAGCAGCAGCATCATCGGAGCACCGCATCATATCACATTACCGATACGTCTCCTGGAAAAACGTCTCACCAATGTAGGTATACATGATCTTTGGTGCCATGCGGTTGGATATGTTTAGATCACGTAGTCACGTGCAGTGCTTCCACTCTTCCGTATTTTTACAGAAATCCATACTTTCTGCCAGTACCGTACTTGTTCCTCCATCATTATCAACTCCCTCCATAAAAAAACTGCGACAGCGCAGGACTGCCGAAATTCCGTACTTACCTTCGTATCGTCATGCATAAGTTACGGATATTTACGGTAATTTTCTCGGCAACAAGTTAAAGATATAGAAACCTGCCAGATTGCGCATTTCATGCTATTGGTCATTATTCCGCTATGTCCCATGCATTCATTGCGGGTTGGTCGGCAGTACACTTTTTTACCTGCAGATGGATCAAAATCTGGCGTACCTTTTGTGCCAATTTCCTCCTTTCTATCATTCACTCATTCCTTCTGTCTGTCTTCGGATTGTTGCTGTGGCTGGAAAATCTGCGCGTTGATCAAGTAAATTGACTTGTGATCTTAGTAAATTACTGTCTGAAAGGAACTTTATTTGCAAATTTGTTTAGATCTAGAGAAATTATCAATGCGAAGATTCTACGGCACGTGAACGCAATAAGGGCCGCGATGAAAGTTGAAAGAAATATATGTGCTGATACGGGGGTACCCACTACGGATGGGATTGGCCGATCGCGCTGATCGCCCGAATCGGTCGCCTACGGGGTGCCCACTACGGCTGGGATCGGCCGATCAGGCCGATTGCCCGACTCGATCGCCTCAAAAACAAACGTGTTTGTTTTCAGGTTCAGGCGATCGAGTTGGGCGATCGGCCCGATCCAGCCATAGGTAAAATCAAAAAGAATTCGAAGTAATGTTCTGAGGCTGTGGCTGGCGATATTCAGACGTGAAAATTGAGAAAAAAAATTGGGTATATGCTGCGCAACTGTATTTTGAAGGTACATCTATTCATTATTCCCAGGTTTGCCTGCCATCAATGGTGCGACGACAAATTAATTGGATTATAGTAGCAATGAAAGGGGAACCTGCTTTTAAACATTGCCAGCAATGGAAAGATATGTTGGTGAAGAAATCAAACAAGACAAAATGTTGGTGAAAATATAAATGTTATGGGCTGTAGGCAGTCTCTTCAAACAGGCTCCCAAATGCCATTTTCACCCCTCTAAAAGCACTACGTTTCAATTTCTTCGGGGGCTTCGCCCCCTGAACCCCCGGCGGGACTCTGTCCCTGGACCCTGCTGGGGGCCTGTGCGACCCCCAGACCCCTGGCAGAATTTTTCTTACTTTTCAGCTTCAGCTGGTGCAAGCACTGCACGTGATCGGAGGGGGTATCCCGGTCTGACATCACACAAGGTGACCGCCTTACCTAAAAATAGTTTGTGTTATTCTATGTTTAGTCGCATGTGCTATCGTTGCACAAACCGATCGCCCGACATGTCTCCTCAAAAACGAACGCAAAACAATCGCTTTTGTTTTCAGGCAACGAGTCGGGCGATCAACCCGACCCAACCTGATCCCATCTGCAATGGGCGCCGGAGGACTTGGGCATTGGGTTAGAAGGAAATGTAAGATAAAAGACAATTACCCTTTCTATAGGTGGCACTTTAGAATCTATTTAAATGCCACTTATTGTTATATCTGATCTATATAATATATGTTCCACGCTAATAACCGTTCGGTGTAATCTTAAGATTGTCTTGCACATTTCAATGATCGTATAATTGGGCTGCAATCTGAAGATATTGTGTTAATATTGTATATTTTTGAAATAATAAAAAAAAAAATTCACTTCCATCTGTATTCTTTTACTCACATCAAGGAACATTCACATATAATTATTATATCTTCAAAAGTGTAAAAGTATGAAAATTAAAATTAAAATTGACATGAAACTGAAGAGCTCACAAGAATGATACAATTATAACGATCGTTAAAACGCAGCGCAGTCCTAAGATTGCTGTACAATTATAGTATGCGATAGTTAAAATGCACAAGGTAATTTTAAGATTGCACCGATCAGTAATTAGTCACGGCTGTTCGGAAGCAGTATTTTAGTTCGCAGACAGCCAGCGCGCCATATCTTGTAATCTGACCCCGGTTACGGGGTCTTGAACTCGTGGCCAGGGGAATTCCTCGTGTCCCGCTGACACAGTGATCTATAAAATGAGATGTTAAACAGGCTTCTAGGTTTATCAGATCTGGAGAAATAAAGAGGGAACGTGATACAAAAATTGCCGGAACAGAGTTACACAGGCACGGCGGCGGGCATCGCTATTGTGGCGGTTTAAGCGTGGGAATGGCCGACTGACACTGATTTATTACCTTCGTGTGGAAGGTCTGACGGGGGCTCGGTCAATATCTAAAGTACCACTTTCAGTGGGATTTTAGCTGCCGTGTAGTGCGGAACATTTATTTAAGTAGAGAAGTTTACTTACACCAGTAGGCTAATAATAGTTGTAGCCTTGTGCTTATCTAACAATTTATAAACCATAGAGGCGTAGCCACTGTAGGGCTAGGGTTTCTTTAAAGCCTAACCATCAGCATAATTTCCTTTTTCCTTTTTTGAACTGAATTTGATATCAATTTAACGAGTGATTTTTATGATTCATGTGCCTTTGTGGTGACGTACATTTTTAATAGCCTTTTTGTGTAGCTCTGCTCTGTTTATTATAGTAGTATTAACTCATAATCTGAAGGCTTTACCAGATGCATCTCTGATCAACTGATAAAACTAATTTCTTTGTACGTTCCCCACAGGTTGTCACCGGCCAGGGTCACTCAGTAGTCTAGCAGTCACCTGTGAATATCGTAGGGGTGTGTTGAGGAAAATAACACCTTATCATTTATTTCAAACACAATAAATATGTTTAGGAATGAATAACCTCCTCTCATAAAAATTGATATATAAGTTATTATGAGCGGTAATGCCCATTCGAATAATCCATACTTTATTGTTATTATCATGAACGATATAGAGTTTGAAAGGAAAAAAAGTATTAGGAGAATTTCCAAATGGTTTGCTCTCAAATTTTTTCCTTCCTGAACTAGTTTTCACTTGACAGTGACAATGGTTTTAAGACCATCAAACAGAATTATTTTTATCAGGAATAACATTTTGTGTAAAAATAATGTCACTTGGAAGATTTTTAAATAAAGAAATGGAAGTCTTATGTCCTGGTTATCGGTTCGAGTTCCTCATCATGTTTTAGAAGTGCGTCACTTTGCTCAAATTTTATTGGATTAACATCAATAGACAACTTTACGTGTTCCAAATGAGACGTGTGCCTCAGTTTCGAATCAACGCAGACGGTTCCAGAAGTAGACCACAAACGTTTAGTTGAATCAAACTGACACACACATACATACTTTGGCTGCAGAAATATATGAGACCCGCTGATTGCTCTGCTAGCATTGTAAGCTAAGTGGGGCCATGCTGATTTGGGACCCATTGGAAAGTGAGGGTACCTAAATACACTAATCAGTGTGCATAGAATTTGAGACCTGGGTAATTCTTACCTTAAACCACTTGTGTAGAGTATATTTAGTTGTTGTTAATGCTCTTAGGCACTTGAGTTTGAGTGAATAACTTCTGGTTGCCTTACTTTGGATTGGTCTCTTTGAATTGACTTTTATTACCCAATATATTCTCGGCTCGGTCTAAAACTCGATAGTCATGTGCTTAAAGTGCAGCTGTCGAAGTTGCGACTTCACGAAGTGATCTTTTTATGTTATGCTTATAGTGATGTTTGATTTTCACACACCATTTTGATAGCAACAAGGGATAACATTGTTGAAGATGTCAAAGAATTTGTTGTCTTTTACATTTTAATACCTGACTTGCTGTTTTAAACTTCAGATGTCTTTTTTTTCCCAGTCCCATCTGAAATTAAAATTTCCAGGCTAAAAGAATTTGGCATTTGTTTCCAGTTTTTACAATCAGTGTTTTCCTTTTAGGACCTATATTTTTTCAACGTGGGAAGGAAGGCTTAAAAGTCGTAATGTTGGTCTGTCCTTTGTTTACCTCTATTGTACTGTGTAAATTAGTATAGAGAGAGAGTATTTGCGTATGAATTATGTTTTTTTCTATACTCTTGGCATCTGATTATCTTATGTGATCAAACCCATTGTTATAAGCTCAAGTAAACTTTGATTTTCATGTGTATTATTAATATAATATATTCTCTTTTTCTTTTAACAAAAGCTAAGCCACTGTAGTCTTTGCCAAATTGATTAGTAATATATATATATATATTAGCGGTACCGTCAATCTTGCTCAGTTTGAAGCATACATCCAGCTGATTAGGTTTGAATCTCATCATCAGGTTCCTTAGATAGAGCATGGACACTACTTTAAAAACTTTGACATTACCTTTGGAGCATCAAGAGGAAGCATCAAGATTGACTATTGAAATTAAAATTTTATTTAATCATTTCCTTTGTCCAGCTACACGTTTTGCCTCACATCCTCTCCTAGTATGGCGAAATGTTCTACTGCTTCATTCCATGGTTGGTTTTTATTTATTTTTATTTTCTCTTTCAGGTCCACTAAATTGTTGGGTTTAACATCAGACAAGATCTTTGAGAACTTTTGCTTCTAACTGGGGACTCATGTTTCCGACAAAGTCTAACTTTTTCAACTGTTTGTGAGAATGGACTCTTCAGGAGGTGTACAGGTGTTTGATCAAAAGGCTGTGATACAGGTTTGTTGTTGCTTTTCTATGTATCGTATAAATTATAAAGTAGTATGAAAGTCAACAACGGGAAAGACTGTCATGCTCTGTATAAAACAGATTTTAAAAATCTTTCATCTTATAACCTTTTTATGACTGGTTTGTTCTAACTTCCAGGAGACTGATTTTAAAAAGAAATGAGTGCTTCTGATATTCAGCATTTTTATAAATAGAAATCTGTACATAATGAGAGTTCTGTACTTGCGGCTCATAATATCAACTTGCCATTAAAATTTTCACATGCAAATCGGCTTAAGTCTGGCTAGACGTGACAAAATTTTGGTACATAATTATTTCCTCCTTGCTTTCATTCAGTAATTATTTCTGTCTAAAAAGAACAGTGAATTGTGATTTTAGAAAGAAATTCATTATACTAGAAAGTATCTTTTTCAACTCTATCTAGATCTTGAGATAAAATTTGTCAGTGTGAGTATTAAACTGTATTTTACGGGAGCAGGATAAAGATGGATTAAAAGACACAGATATCAAAATCTACAATAAGTGGAAACGGTGCTTTGAGGTTGACATTTGGACATTTTAATTTTTTTTTAAACTAAGGAAGATGAGGTAAAGGCTTGGTGGCGGGATTGTATTGTCTAGAGTGATGTTCCTAGATTTTGCATACTGTCGATGATGAATTGAATTTTATAGTGGCAATACAAAGGGGATTTGGTTTTAACATAACCAGATGTATTATGTAGATAAAGAAAACAGATAAATTAAGGCAAATTTGTGGTGAATAAAATAGGTGTTATGCGTTGTTGGCTATCTCTTCTAACAGACACCCAAGTGCCATTTTCAACTTTCTAAAAGCACTAAATTTCAATTTCAAAGGGGCCTCCCCACTGAATCCCCACCAGAATGCTTTCCCTTCGATCCAGTTCAGCTTTCAGACCCCTGCATTGAATATTTAATTTTCCTTACTCTTTTGGTTAGTCTATTAGAATCACTGAAAATGTATTGAGTTACATATCATTACTTTTGCTAGGAACTGATAATTCCTGAAAATCAAATCATTTGTTTAAATGTTTAAATAATGGAGATGCATTCTAATTCTAATGTAGGGGAAAAATTGTCTTGTGTCATCTTTTTTGGGAACAAGGCCTACTGGGCACTCTGAAAAAAATGTAATTTGTCAAGAGTTTTTTCGCTTTTCAAAACGTCCTGGTGTTAATGTCGTATGAACTCAATTTTTTTGCTACTGCTGTCTTTCATCGACCTAAGATCGCATGAAATTGAAATGTTCTCCCATTTTTGGTCACAAAGGGGTTGGTAGGTTTGGGAAACCCAATTCTTCTAAGACTTCTGCTGTGGAGTAATATAGTAAGAGCACATATAAATACAGTGGAACCTGCCCTGACGGCCACCTCTATAAGACGGCCACCTGTACAAACGGCCACTTTCCGTTTCCCCCCTTGCGTTTTTTCTATATAATTTAACTGTGTGAAATGGGCACCTGTCCAACGCGGCCGCGGCCACCTTATTTCAACACACAACCCCTATCACACTAAGCAATAACACCCGTCTAAGACGGCCACCTTAGTGACTCCATTTCGTTTAGTCATAAATTGTGCTTTGGCCCCTGGCGTTGTGGGCGAGCCGTCATAATTCAATCCCCTGTTGTTGTTGTTTGGTAGTCCCTCCAACCGATCATGTTGCGTAGGCCCCTCCTACTGTTGACCAATAGCTACCAATTTTCAGCTGCTGGTGAGGTAAGCGTGTGATCCCTCATAACCCATAAGCCCCGCCCAGAACTGAAACACAAATCGTAAGCAAGATGAGTGGTCACTGTTTACCCAGTCTGTAACAAAGTAACAAAGGACGTCAACATGAACTTGTGACAGAAACGTCGCTCGTTCTCCGAGTGGTGGCGACCCAGGAGTTTGTTTTTACTTCGCACTCGGTCTTCCTTGTCTGATACATTTCGTTTTATTGTCACCATTTTGCGAAATCAGCAACAAAATAAAAATTACAAACAAAATACAAACCACCACCAACAACAACAAAAACAACAATGCGGCTATTTTCGATTGTGACCTCTGATAGGAATAATTTGTTTTCTTCTTCTTGATCAGTCCTGCCTAAGACGGCCACCTGTCTTATACGGTCACTTTTCTCCTTGACAATGGGTGGCCGTCTTACACAGGTTTGACTGTACTTGTGAATTAGACAAACCCTGTTTTATTCATCCTAAGGATAGACCTTTGTTGAGACCTTGGCTCTATCCCTTGTGCTCTGGCTTATTGATAATGATTTAGGTAATGAGTAGGTCTGGTAGGTAGTTATGGTGTTATGTAAAGGAAAATGAAGTGAGGGAGAGAGAACGGATGAGATGACTTTGTATAATTTGTTCAGTCTTCAGACATTTGATAGGAATGAAATGTTCTCAGGCAATCCCATTTTCATTTTCAGAACCAAAGAAAGTCAACAATGGGAAAGACTGTCATGCTCTGTATAAAACAGCTTTTTTTCATTCTTTCATCTATTACCTTTTTATGACTGGTTAGTTTCTGCTCTCTAAGGAGGGAAATGCATGTGAACTGATTTGTACACAAACTCATGAAGATCAACATGTTATTTTTAAAAAAAAGAACCTGAAATCTTAGGGGTTTTTTTGTGATAGGATAGTTAGCTTCTGACTTGAGATGTCCTGCATGAAGACTGCTGTTCGGTCCATGAAAGCTTGCTTTCTGCTGTTAAATAAACATGAAGGAGTACAAAGTAGGATCAAGTTGTGATCACATTGAAATTGTATGATGAGGAAACCAAGTAAGCTTCTCATTGCTCAAAAGTAACCAACAAGCATAGAAATTATAAGTTAATCCTGTGTCATTTCAGCGATGGAAAAATGGTCTCCTGACCAGCCAGGAACAATTTGAGCAGGCGGTCTACCAACATTTTGCCGAGTTTGTGCCTCTCGTGTATGCCAACAATTTGGACAATGAGAAAGAGGAGCGCCGGGCCCGGAAGTTTCTCTTCCATCCCCTGGAGGAGTTCATGTGTCAGGAAGACCCTGGGATTATGTTTCAGAAGTTAGGCCATATGGATAAACCCTCACAGCTATGCGGACACAACTTTAAGAATGGAGAACCAACTTACTCTTGCAGGTGAGAATAAAAAAAATAGGTGTTGATTTTGTTCCTTGTTTGTATTCTTGTTGTTTATCTCTTACCATTTTGTCACCTTCAGAATCAGCCCCTTGCTAGTTCTCAGCAGGTGGGTCAAGGACACAACTAGTTGGACATACTTCTTTGCTCTCACTCTTGGTTCTGTATGCCAGTCTTGTTCTGTCCCAGCATTGGCTCATCATATTGATTTCTTTATCTTCACTTCGAAGACTTTGATGATCTCTCACGTAGTTCAGTTTGTAGGTGTCCGAAGGGTGTCACTGGTAGGTCCTACTTCACTACTTTCTGTCTCTTGTTTCTGTCTCTCTCTCTTGCTTTTTCCGAAGACTAAATGACCGTTATTGTGTCAATGTGCTTCATTTTACTCAAAAAAGAACAACAAAAAAGCAAACCCCAATTTGGCTTGCATAGAAGAACATATCATCAGAATGAAAATAGTCTTCCAGCTGCAAAACTATGGGGGAAAATCACCAACACCCATGCTCATACATTGAATTCCACCTGCCTAATTTAAAACCGCCTTTGTCATTAAACTCTGGTTTTGTGTTATTTTTGGGGTTTCAAAAATTGTTTTGGACAAGTTTGCCTTCACTACCTTACAACGTAAACAAAGATATATTCCATCCAAGTTGTCAAGTAGAGAGAGGAAAGCTTGGTATCCAGTGGATTGCCTTTAAGAGGTCACAAGGAAGGAATCGAACTCATTCATTCTATGACAATTATGTTATTTACTGTTTTTCACAGAACTTGATTGATTTGTCTGTTCTCCCAGGGATTGTGCCTATGACCCCACATGTGTTCTCTGCATCACATGTTTCCAGAAAAGCACTCATAAAAACCACAGATATCGGGTAAGTGTATGTTGCTTTTCTGATTTGGTTCTTGAACTGACTTGAAAGATAAACAACATTAATATTAGCAATTGAGAGCCTCTGGATACATCAAATGGTTCACCATTCTTTATTTGAAATCCGTGTTGTACTTAGTTGTAGACATGTTGTTACATTTCCAGTATCAGAGAACGTTTAGTTTTTATGCTGTGGATTTCATTGCTTCTTATAACCGCTCTTGGCTGCTGTCCACCCTTCAGCTTATGTTTTAGTAATGAACATTTTAAAAATTGAAAAAGAATTGTTAAGATTCCATCAATTTCAAATTCGTAATGATGGACAGCCCTTCTGTTTTGTGTTAGTGAGGAGACTTTCAAAACTTCATTTTTAGAAAAACTGATGTTGAATAGTGCTGTGCAACTTGGAGGAATCAAAGTTCTTTGAAGTGTGAAGTCACTATTTGTACTATTTGAATACTGCATGGGGCATGGGGATGAGTTTTTTTCTTCTTATATTTAATATTTTAAGCTATGTTTGTTATTCAATATTTACTGTTCACAGTGCAATTTATCCAGAACTATTTGCCCAAGCCAGTGATTCTCAGCTCTGTGTGTGTCTGCCTTTTCACATGCCGATTGGCTGCAGTTTATTATCTCTCATTTTATTGGTTCCCACCACACGTACCCACCTAAGGTGTGGGTGGTTGGCGGGTGCTCTGGTGTGGTTTGCTCCTTCTTTCCTATCAAACATCTATCGCTCTTATCTCCCCTTCTTCTTTTTTATGTTTGTTACTCTCTTGTAACACCTCTAATCTTCTGGCACTCATATGACCTTTTGCAGTTGCGAGCGCCGTAAAACCTCTACTAAAACTGAAACTGAAACCACCTAAGGTGCCAATGGATCTCGCAAGTGTGGCTGCTAATATTATTTTTTTGGGGGTGTCTTTTTAGGCCCCTTTCCTGCAGTACATTATAAGCCGTAATATGATCATGTCACATCACCACTTATACTGCTTTGAACTTGGAATAGGGTAGGGGAGCTCATTGGGTTTGCAAAGCTATCCATCACACTTCGGGAGTCATGGGTCCTTAAGCTTTTCATGGTGTGACTAGTGAATATTGCACTGTGTGCTTCCCGGGAAGCTGAGAATGTTTTGGAATGTTCTAGGGTCTGCTGGGGTAATAATAGTTGAAAAGGGCATATTGCATGCTATAGAGCTTGGATATGCACTACATAAATGCATTTATTATTATCATTAATGAGTGATAGGGAAATAAATCTCACAGGGATGTTTTATAACTCTTGTTGTCTCTGTTCATCACTCTGTCTGATAAATCAATTAATACAAAGTTTTTCTGCAATGTCTCAGTTATTTGAGACATAGACATGCTCTAACTTTTTGTCAAGTTGAGAAAAATGAGACGAAAATCCATTATCTGTAGAAATTAAATGTGATTCAAATAGCTTTGCTGGGCTTCAAAAAGCTTTAGCAGGGAAAAATAATTAGCATTGAGTAATAAAGTTGAATAGGCCCAGCTCAAATGTTCAAATTCAAATTATAAATGAGTCAACTGTTTTAAGATGGATTTCTGCCTTTTGGAAATGAGCAAAACGGATGTTCCATCTCGTTGAGTTGTTCTAGTTGAGATAAATGTGTCTCTGTGGTATGAACTTTTTTTTTGCAAGCCTGATTCTGGGGTGGGATTTAAAAAAATAAAAATCTTGGGACCTCTCAAGCTTAGATCACCTACCTGAAGAGTTATAATTATTGCAAAGAGAAACATAGTTCAACTCTTTTATTTGTGGATGCAACTGAAAACTGATACGAAGTATAGCATCAAAACTGTGGTTGTGAAATTATAGCAATTCAGTGTCAGTCAGGTCAAACTCAGTTCACATTGCCATCCTTCAGCAGTCAAACGAGTAGTTGCCTGCTCTGATAACTAGTAATTTAAGCCCAGAATGAAGGGAATAGGGTTGTATTATGGATAAGAATAGCAGTGACAATCGTTGTCATTGCTAAGCATGGTCTGTGCCGTGTTGGGTGCTTTGGTCCAACAAAGCTTATGTTTCTTGTGAGATCAGAAGGTGCCAAGGGACATAGTAAAGTTCTTTCCTTGCTTATGAGAATTTTCATTGTCCAATAAAATACATTCGTTAGTGTCTACTTTCAGGTATGAACTGTTCTGTTGGTTTGTTTTTACTTTCATTTGTTGTCTTTGAAGTTACGACCATGACCTAATTGTGTTGAAAGTGCCGTAAAACTTTTACTAAAACAAAAATATCTTCCCCTGCTATAGAACTGCCCCAGTTCTTTTGACTTTTTTTTTTTTAGAGAGACATGAGGATAGGAAGTCCTTTTGTGTATAAAAAACACCACATCAAGATAATTTGTGCCTACTTCATCATTTTAGCCATGGCAATCGGGGAAAAAAAGTTATTTAGTTTGAAGATTTTAACAACTGTCACATTTGTGTTTATTTCTATTTTGGTGTTGTTACAAATACAGAACTGCTTTGTTTCCCCTGTGCTTGTGTAGATGAGCACATCTGGTGGTGGTGGTTACTGCGACTGCGGTGACACTGAGGCATGGAAATCTGATCCCTCCTGCGTGCTTCACACACCACGTCGGGTAGAGGAGACAGTGAGTGGAGATTGAGTTAACATAAAAAAGAGATAGCTCTGAGTAATTTTTGGGCTAATACTAGGTGACGTTGCAACAGAAAGGACCTATTTATATAAAAAAAAGGCAGTATGCTAGTCTCAAAACCCATTTTTAGAAATTTGCATGCCTAAGTTCACTTGAATGTATTACAAGGTTGTCCATATTAGGTCTTACAGACAGGCAAGGAGGCTTTCACAGAGGTCTTAAGAAAGATGAATGGGTACACAACTGGTTTAAATTATAAAAGTAGAGAATGGAAAGGAGAAGTAAAACTTGACATATGTACTGTTTTATACAACAGGAATTAGATGGCAGTTTTGAAAAAAGAAGTGATTCTTTTTTTTTTTTTTTTGGTCAATTAGTTGTTGTAAGGGTTTTTTTGTAGATAGAGGAAACAAATTTTAGTGAGATGCTCCCTTATAAAAAAGTTTGACTGGTTTTATGCTTTCCAATGTAGATGAGCTTGCTTCTGAAGTGATTTTACATGTTTGCAGTATTGGACTGTCTTTTTTTATTTTCATCTGCGTACGTGTTGACCTGACTTGGGCCTGTTGTCAAGAATATATCCAGTTATTTTTAGTTTTAGACTGTCGAAAGTGGTTATAAATTCACTGAAAGTGGTTTTCATGTTTACATATGAGAGGTCACTGTTATTTTGGTTTGAACTGAGCTTTCCTGTATGCTTTGTATTATGTGTCATTGTTTACAAAACTTGAAGATGTATAGAAGTAAGAATTTTTTGGAAAATATTCAAACTTCTGTAGACTCTTGTACTGAAGGAGAGCACTTTTATGAATAATGAAGAAGAGTTTAGGTCTTCAATTTTTACCCTTTATCTTCATTTTTCACAAAAGGGTTAGGTAAAATTAGAAAAGCTTAAAAATGGATATTGAATGCTTTGCTTTCACCTTCTGGTATCTGCACAAGGAACAACTGAAGGAGTAGTTTTCAGGCTAGTTGAACAGCAGTGAGGAGAGAGCTCAGTGTGTAACAATAAAAAAGGTAAAGGCCATGTTATGTCCATATTTGAAAAAATAATTCTTGTAAGCCCACTTCAAGGTATTGAAAAAACCCCAAACTTTTTTTACCCATCCGTTCTTTCAGGGAAATGAGGTGAACCTTCCAGGAGACATGCAGCAGTTTGTCATTGGCATGTTTCGCTGTGTGCTCAAGTTTACTGCTGCTGTGCTGACGTGGGACGAGAATGTCACTCTGCCGCTGGGTTTGCAGCGAACAGACGCAGCTCTGGCCAACATGCCTTACTTGTGTATGCTGTACAATGATGAAGTGCATACTTATGATCAGGTGTCTTTTCTTTCTACCTCAACATTTTTCTTCTTTTAAGAATGGTTTTTATACGTTTCCATGGTTTGAAGAGAACAGGGAGCAGATCCTTCTTTACTATAGAATTGTTTGAATACATTTTTGTTGGATTTGTTACCATGAAAAGATGTTTTGTTTTAAGACAGTTTGATAATGGAAGTGAGTTGGGAGAAATGTTTTTTGTTTTTTTTAGTGTACTTGAACTGTTTTGATTCAGGAGGATAAGATCTGGGAACCAGGTTCTAAGATTAGAGTGCTGTGCACCTCTGTTGGATGCCTCGTATGTAGGCTGTTACGTCATTGTAGCTTGTCACTGTATGAAATCATTGGTGATTAAAATTGTTTCAATGATTTTGCTTTTTTTTCCAAAATCAATACTTTGACCATGATGAGGTGATTGCAAGATTTTCAGAGTTGCTTCTTCCTATGCTCTCTTAGTCCTTTCAACTCTGGCTCTCAGTACTTGCTGCTTACCACTTTGACTTTTTGCTTGTTTGGAAACCTTTCTATAAAGGTTTTGCTTCAATGAGTATGCGCAATATAAATTTAAAAAATAATAATATAATTGCTTGATCAAGTGACTGAATGGTAGTTCCCTATTTAGGTAACTACTTGTACCTGGTCAATGTTTGTCTTTACACTCCCTGAGTTTCAGCCAAACTACCTAAAATTGATTCTTAATCAATCTGAAATAGGAAATTTTAGGTTAACAGCCCTGTGAACAAGTTCATGCATATTTTTTTTCCCTTCCCAGTCTGGTCTTTAGCTACTTTATAATTCCAAACAGCTTCTCTTCTTCCTCCACTGGACTTTGTGATGATTGTTATTGTGTGGTTAGATGACAGGTGCTCTGGTGTAGTTTGATCAATGCTTTTCTATCTGACATCTATCATCCTTATCTCTCCTCCTTTTTTTTTTGTGTTTGTTACTCTCTTGTAACACCCCTAATCTTCAGTACCTATAAGACCCTATTGTATTACCAGTGCCATAAAACTCTTACTTATACTAAACGATTTTTCCTTCCCTCTGTTGGCTGTGTTTCCTTTCAGGTGATCAACACCCTCCAGAGAGCAGTCACCTGCACACCACGCCAGGCTCTTGATTATGCCACCATTGTCGATAGAGAGGTTAGTTCAGCTTATGAACTGAAAACAATTGTAAAAGTAATTTTCTTTTTCTGCCTGCTTCTCACGATTTTGTGCTGTAAATAAATATATTATTTTCAGGGTGAAAAAATCCAGCTTTATTCTTCTTTTTGAAGATTGCATTTAGTATTTATAGCGTAGTCTTCCTCTTTTTTTCTATTGGCTTTCAATGATGTTTGAAACGGTTGAAGCTGATTAAAGCTTATTCTAGATATACTTGATTTATCAAGTCTTTCTATGCAGTCGAAGAAGAATCCTTGTGCAGAAAGTACCATGAGGCCTGTGACCATGCGTGTACACTTTACTTAATGTCCGTAATAATAATAATAGACAGCATTTGTATAGCGCGAATTCCCACCCGACAGCATGCTCTAAGTCGGCTTTTCAACAGCTCTGTAATGGCCCTTGTATTTGCAATGAATTCAATTTTTTTCCATACTGACCTTTTTTGTTTTGTCTTGTCAGGGCCGCAGTTGTGTGAAATCTGGAACAGAAGATGAATGTAACACTGTGAGACAGACCATTGAGGTGAGATTCCATTGTGACTTTCGTCTGTTGTAAAAGATTTTGTAATTTCTGAATTGTACTATAGTATTATTTAGACCTGTCGCTTGATTAAAGCACTGTGTTATCCACTTAAACCAAACATGGTTGAATTGAAAATGGCAAACCTCCCAGTAAAGTAAAATTCCTGATTTTGTCCTCTATTTGAGAAATCTCTCAAAGCAGAAAATCTGGATGAAATGAAGAAAATCCAGTGGTCCCACAGATTTTGGATGAAGTAGACTATTGACTTCTCATAATGAATGTTTTTTGAAGAATAATGCCCAAGCTGCCCTTGACTTCTTATTAACTGAAACATCAGTTTAAGAATTGTCTCAGATTTGTCTCTTTTTGTATTTCAAGTAGATCTGAGTTTGATGTTCTGCTGCCAATGTTATCATGCTTCTTTATAGTCACTCTGTCCTGCCCATGTGACAGTCTTGCCTTTCCCCTTGCAGCAAGTTTTAATGGTTTCTTGGGGCTGGCCCTGTTATGTTTTGAAAATAAATGTCCAGAAATTCAGATGAAATGCTATTCTAACGGGTATAGAAATCTTAAACAGTTTAAAAATTCCATTCTTCATATGCGCTCTTCTGCATTTTCTTTTGAAATGATATGCAAAACATTTTTTGACAGCAGAGATGAAATTCCCAGGTCATATCTGTGTAATGTGGGATGTGTCAAACTGAAGATATATTTTGGATAGTATGGATTCTAATGAGCTTAGGTTTTAGTTTTAGGCCGAGTTCTTGGGCAGTTTGCGGTAGATACCGATTTTGGGCCTGTTCAACCGCCATACCGATAAGGTGTCAAAACTGCCGGATTTTCGATGGGTGCCAAAAGAAGGAAAAAACCCCCATTCTGCAGTGCTCCCATTCTTCTTTGATTTTGCGGAAATCCGTACCTTCCAAAAGTTCCGTACTTGCCGCATCATCATATCACCTCCATGCGTATAAAGAGAGAGAGAGAGAGATCAGCCCTTGCTTCCGTAACTTGTCAGATATTTACGGCAACTCCCGGCAATAAGTTGTATTAGAAACCGCCAGATTGCGCATTTTGTACACTCGACCATTGTCTATCTGTGCCGTTAGGTCAGCTATATTTTTTCACGTGCATATCGGCTGAAATCTGTCTACTCATGATAGATAATCTTTCTCCTTCCTTTCATTCTTTCTTTCTTTCTGTCTGTCTTCGGGTTTTTGCTGCGGCTGGAAAATCTGTGCATTTAATTCATTTACCAAGGAAACAAAATTGTGAATGTAGAAAAAAAATCGATATCGAAGTAAAACATTCTAAAATAGATCTTAGTCTAGAGAATTGATCAGTACCAAATGAGGATTCTACGCAGGGGGACTGCGGGAATCTGAAAAAAACCCCGCTGCGACCCTAGAAAATGCTCAAAGTCCTTGAAACCAAATCTGAGTTCATATTTTACCGGTCGCCTTTGTGATATTACGTTCGGCTTTCCCCAGACCAGGAGTACGTTTCACGCGAATTAGCGGCTATGGCGGCAGGCAGAAATGTAGCTGTAATACAGAGACTCCATCGGGAAAATCTAAATCTACTTTCGCTTTCGTTACCGCTCAGAATTGTCCGATGATAGTTTAACGTTAGATTTACAGTTAATAAAAATTTGTAATATACAGTTTGTGCATAAAAAAACCACAGTGTTGCCATACAAATTAAATCGATATTCTCACTTATGTCACTATAATGACAAAAAAGGAAGAAAAAAAAAAGCGTCCTTCGATTTCTAGATTGTCGGGCCTGTATCGTGACCGGTCAGTGAACCTGTGCGAGTTCGCATAGGGACTGGCCGACGGTTGCCGGGGTAATCAAAGTTCATTCAAAGTAGGAGCGTTGCAGGGCTTTGGAATTGAGGGGAGGTGTTTGACGCTATACAGTCTACGGCGGCAGGATAAGGCCACGGTGCAAGAAACTGATGCTAAAATAAAAACGATAAGTTGAAGTGGTTTTGACATTCGACAATCGAGTGTGTAAATGAGGGAACATTAGAGCAGAGGCTTGATGATTGTATCTTCAAGGTTGGTGTTGTCGGATTTGTCAGTGATGACAAATTGAATAGTGGCAATGAGGAAATGCCATTTTCAACCCTCGGAAAGCTCTATGTTGGATGCCTATGCATCATGATGGCTTACTGCTGATTAAAAACTGGTACTGTGATTTAGCATTTTGAAAAAAAATGAATACTTAGTCCATGATGCAGGGATTCATGATTGACTGATTGGCAGGTTTACACCATCACTACATCCCACGCTCTCACCGTCCATCCAGCTCCGGCCCTCATTACACACTCTCTTTTATTTTCACTTTTTGCTCTACCGTAAGCCTAACTATAAAGGTTTTATAAATAAGTTTTGTCTTGCATGCTTTTTAAAATCCTTGATCGCTGAAACCAAACACGGTTTTGGCAGTTGATGTTCTTCTTGCCTCTCCTCAGGCCCAGATCAGGATTCATTTTGTATTTAGATGGTAAAACTAGTTGAAATTAATCGTCTGTCATACCTAAGTCGCAAAAGACTTTTCAGTGTCCTATGCTAGTGTCGGGAAATATGTTTTAATATAGTTTATATTTGTATGGGCTAGCGGTTTTGAAGTCAGTTTGGCAATCACCCTGCACTCAATTCCAGATTCAATACTGAATGATAGGTGCCTTGAACGTTAGTCCATAAATGCTTTAAAAAAAAAAAACCTCGCCTCATTACATACACACTGTTCATCGTAACTTGTACACGCCCAAACACTCCCTTCCCCTCCCCACAAATAGAAACAGTGAACACACACTAGAGCATGCGCTCATGCACACACACACACACACACACACACACACACACACACACACACACACACACACACACACACACACATGTGCATGCAAAAACAAATTTTCAAAATATAGTTACCCAATCTCGTGGAGAGCAAGCGCGTTCGATGGGGCAACGATCTTCTTTTTTTTTTTCCTTTGTCTTTGTACTACCTGATTTTGGGCCAAAATACCTGAAACTGACCCAGAATCTACCTGAAATGGGAACTTTGAGGTAGGCAGCCCTGATATCTTTTTGGCAGGAGGAATCAAGCTCTTAACTTACTAATACGTTTTTCTTTACGTGCAACAGGTTGTGTAAGTCTCACAAGCTTGCTTTTGCTTTTTCCAGCGCAGCACATCTCGTCATGGAAGCAAGCCCTTGAAGGTGGAGGTTATGCTGAAAGATGTGGTGGCCCTTCAGCAGTTTGCTCTCAAGGTACTTGGCTGGCTACAGACTGTCAGCGACAAAGCAAGTAAGTTGTCAAGGGAAATTATACTCGTACCTCAAGTTTTTTTTTTTTATGAACTTGTAGTTACTTGCTTGTAACTTTAAAAAAATTCTACCCAGAATCCTACTGTTTCCATTTTACTTTATGTTTGCTATCAAACTTCAGAGAATATTTGAAATCTTTTTTTTCTGCTTAAATCTTGGAAAAACTGTGTTACACCACTTTTTGAAAGTAACAGTAAAGCTTGCTGTGTCCTGTCAGAAATTTTTGGCTCATGATTTTCTTATATGGCAGAAATGTCAAAGTGTTTTACATGTCAGGTCTCGATTGCTTTAATGTTTTTGTGACTCCACAGGTTCTATACGAAAGCTTATGTGTCAGACCCTGATGGAACCCAGCACCGAAGGCGGCGTTACTACCTTGTCAGTGCTGGAGAAATTTATACAGGCTGACACACGTCTCTGGAAAGGTCACTGTTTTGTATTTCTTGTCCTCTAAAGACAGCAAAAAAGTTTATTTTAGCTTGTGCTCTTTGCGTATATTGTGAGGATGCACTGGATACTAGAAATTTTATTCACTTTTGTATTTATTGGCGTGATTGATGATGGAGAATCATGCATGTCGTGGACACAGTGGAATCCAGCGCTCATCAATTTTTGGGCGTATAGAGTTATTGGTATAATCTTAAAACTTGTATATTTGTCTTTCTTTTGTTTAAAAAAAAGTACCCATTTATTTTAAAAATGAAGGCAGTGGGGTTTCCTCGTGTCAGCAGTAAAATTAATTAGAAAATGGCTGAAAGTTTGGTGACTTTCGAAGCTTGAGTGTCCTGGGAAACTACAATTTTACATTTTTCTGTGTCTTTTATCAACTTTTCCCCCCCTAAAATCCACACAGAAATGTGTATTTAAATGGACTGAGTGGTGTTGAGCAAAAAAAAAAAAAAGCTAAAAATTGTCCAATGGGCAGAGAAATCCTGATTTCCTCAACTTCATTATTTAGATGAGTGCCTGATTTCATCATAGTGATACATTTATGAACTCTTTGTCAGTCACTAGTCATTGTTGTCCTATTGCAATTTGAAGAAAATAATGGAGGAAAGTTAAAAATTTGTATTTTCATCCCTTATGGTCATTTTTCATTCATAGTTGGAGGAAAACACATACTCCAACCGTTGTGGTTTTTATTTATAGTGTAGGTTCTTTTGAAACTAGAAAGAGTTATTCCTGTGACCACAGCTGTTATAAGCGAGATATGTAAAAAGTGCTTATTCCGATTTTGGCTGAATATTCTGATAGCTTTATTTCCTAACTACTTTCTTGTCTGTCTACAGTTGCAAGAGTACAAAGCCATCAGCTGCTCATGTCTTGGTAGGTGATAAGCTTGTCTTGTTACAGATAAAGAGCTGTTAAGTCGTAAAAAAATTATTTATTAAATTATTTATTTACACAATGGGTTTACTGTTCTGTAACTCACTGGAAAATGCTTTTGATATTCTAATTTTGTTTTCCAGTGTCGTATACCAGTTTCTGTATATCTGAAAAACTTTTATTTATGAGCCAAGAAATTCTTCTGTAAATTGTAATGTCATGCTTGTTGACATCTTTCATGGATGGCCTGAGGGTGTGTGTCACCAGCAGCTTCCCTGTGGGTTAGACATTGATAGACACTTTCTTTGGGTTCTGTTTGTTCTGTACTTCTGCTGTCACTGTTTTTCTTCCTCCCTTGTCTCTTTTCCACCCAATAGCCTCACCTTTACCATCATTGTGTTAGTATTTGTAATGATTAATACGTTTAAAAAAAAAATTGATCTCAATCATGTATAAATAAAAGCCTCTTGTGGGTAGCATGGACTTACTATTTTTGCTCATTCTCTCACACCTTTTTGAATTTTGCACTTAATAAAAGTATTTTTTAAATTGATTTTTTACAGTGTATTGAAAGATCCTCCTTCTAAAAAGCAATTTTCTGTGATATTCACTAAGGTAAGAGGATGCTCTTTGTTTGATTTTTGTTGTGTTTCCAAACTCAGTTCTGCAATCAATAAGTTGATATCTGTTCTTTTTTTTAATGACTGAATCAAGGCTCAATATTTGATGATGAAAGCTTTATATAAATATGAGAAAAAGTACTCGCCAATATGTGTAGTTTCAGGTGACTGGGGCAAATGATTGTCTTCCTGTTGAATATATGAGCAGTTATGTATTGGTTAAATTACATAAATACCACTGATGTTACTGCATGTAATTTCTTTCTATGTGTCTGTGCTTGTTTGTCCTTATGTAATGCATATCTGAGCTACTTTTGTCTTGCAGCAGAGAAGGTGTCTGAAACTGGCCTGTGAAAGCGAGAGCTTCACCATCACATCAACTTTGTTTGGACCGAACGTAAAGTAGGAAAATGTTAAAGACACATAGCAAATGTCCTCATTTGGATTTCTCACAAAGATTCAATTGATGATTAGCAAAGAATGAATCTTTTTCTTCTTTGTGTTCCCCTGCTAGATCTCAGGGATAGTCGACTACTGGTTCTTCAAACTGCAGTGCAACTGCTTTTTACGTATGTGACCGTTTTTCCTGCTTCAGGCAGCCTCATTCTGATTTCGAAGGTACTCTTTATGTTTTTACTCTGACAAGAGTATTTTCAGTTTTTGGTAGGAATTAATGTTGAATTTTGCCCAGGTGGTTGCTGAAGCCAACTCTTATCGAGTTTTGGGACCACCAAGGGATCTTGCACATGAGACCTCCCGAGATTTTTCTCTTTTATCCGAGAAGGTTTGCTGTTTGATCTTACCTGTCCAAAGATAAGGGGTGTGGCTGAAAGACAGCAATAAGATGGAGCTGGGAGTAGCAGTGGAAAGAGTCAGGAGTAGGGGGCAGAGGAGCTCAGAGAAAAAAGGGCTGGGGGGGAGATATAAAGTGGAAATGAAAGCAGATGACTAAACAGGATTAGACAACAGGAAAGGACGTGGAAGGAGATAATTATAAAGAAGAAACTTTTTTCTTCCCTGTCAGGTTTTGATCCTGTGACCTTTTGAATGAGAGGTGAACATCACAAGAGCCTCCAACTAAGAATGGATGAATTGTGGTTCTGAAAACATTATGCTGGGTAGACTTTTTTTCAAAAGTCGGGGCAATATGATTACTTCCAAGTTTTTCAATGTGTTTTTTTTATGGGTGGGGATTTGAGAAATGTTTTATTTTCTTAAAGTTTGTTAAGTAGTTTGTTAAGTTGAGTGGATGGGGGATACTGTTCACATCGTGATTGGTAACTGTATGAGTAAGGCTGCAACACAATGCACTATTTTGGCTCTCTGAGATACAAATAGAATGTGCATAGAAATACCTCTGAAAAGCAATCTTTTATTTCACCATTTAGGTGATCAATGAGAGATGGAGGGCATGATGGAAATTTGTCTGATATTATGGCTTCATGTTCTGTTCACCATACAACTTATTAATGGTGGTAGCTCCTAATACTGTTCCCTTGGGCATTAAAAGCCCATGAAGATCTATAGTCTTGAGTCTCCATGGTGTTAAGCTGGCCTTAAGAAACGAGCCCATAAGAAAGTTAATGTTCTTTCGTCACCCTGCAATGTTTGCATCTGTCAACTTTCGTGTCAAGACCGAGGAGGATTGCTGACCATTGTAGTTTGTGTGTGGTACATTTTTATGTAACCTGAAACATTATGATACTTTCCAGTGGTTCCAGTACATGGTGCGCCAGTTTAGCCAGGACGATCATGATCATGACGTCTCCATGCCCAGCCTCTCAGTCCAGATTTTCACTGTGCCCAGTTTGGTAGGTTGCCAGTGAAGCCTGGCACCTTTGGCTTCTGCTTGCTCCCAATGCCCAACTGCACGATGTGGTGTCGGGGACCTGCCCTGGCATTTAACAGCACAGTTCTGAATTCTTTCCTCCAAATTGTGCTGTTCTTTGAAGTCATTGATGCCTTAGAAATCTGGGCGGATGTTGAAGCTGATTTGGTACCTCATCTCTCGTTCCTATTTTTAAGAAATTTAACATGACCTTAAAGTAAGAAGTAGGTCCTGAAACAGCTGAAATTGATGTTTTAAATGAAAATCAAACCAGAAATTGTTTTCGGTCTATCCTTTTTAGGATGTGCTTTGAGAAAAAGAATTCAAAATTTTCTCTTTTCCTGAGAGTTTCCCAATTCAATGTTATCCCCTCAGATTTCTAGTTGTCCTTTTTCTGTCTCATCAGTTTGACTCCAACAGGTTTGTGGTTTGTGAATGGTTGTTCGCATGAACCATTTATGGTTGTGTTCACTTCACATTTGTCATCACTTTAAAATATGATTACACACACACACAAAAAACTCCTGAGTTGTTAAGAACAAGTTGAAAACTTTCTTTCAAGGAAATGAGTATTTCAGTTACACATTTAAAAGAATTGCCTACACCGTTGTGTGCTATGAACTTTGAAGTTCTTGTGCTCTTTTGGATTGAATTGGTTAATTCTTACTTTTTCAAGTGTTCAGGAAATGACTGAAGTGAAACCTAATGTGAAGATGAACATGACTTTTGTCTTTCTTGTAAACATTTTCTTCCCAACAAATTTGCTGTGTTTTTTTCCCCTTTAATTTCTGTTTCTCTTTCTTTGCTTTTCTTTTCTTTTTTCTTTAATCCCTGTAGTGCTATTCCAAGCTGTACGAAGCCTTTTTGCAGGACGACCACTCTCGCTCCGTATCCATTACCCGCCTCTCCCTGCAGTTGTTCGGGACTCCCTCGTTGGTAGGTGTCACTGTTGACATTACTGCTCACCTCCAGATGTGTGTTTCTACAGGCCTTTATAGTCCTTTATTTCGTATGCCGCCAAACTGTGCTGCGTTTTCTACCGAAATCAAGTGCCTGCTTGTGTATCTTCGCTCCTAGTGTTAATTTTTGGCCCAGAACTCGGTCTCTTCCTGTTATGCTTGAACTTTTAATTTGTGTGACATAAATTATACATTTTGTTTGATCCGTTAAAAATTAGTCCCTGTAATGTACCGAGGTGGTCATGCGAAAAGTCCTTGTGCTCATTTCATGCTTCTGCACAGTTTGTCTCCAAGTGCTTGAATTGTTTGTTATTGCACCATTTCCTACAGCTCTTTTTGCAGTAGTGTTGGCTTAGAGTGCTTGCTCATCGGCAGCGTCTCGTACTTTTCTTGATTATTTAATGGCTGTGGTTGGAACTTCTCTCTCTTTGCTGCTTGCTTTGCTTGCAATGATTTTTCTCTAATACCCTTTTGAGAACATCAAGGTTTTGAGATTGCTGCCTATGTTCCACATTGTTCGTGTTTACCATATAACAAGTTCAGCAGGTTCAGTGCTTTGTAATACTGCATGTGTAGCTGAAGTTTTTCTTGCTCTTTATGGGTCTGTGACTTATCCTCGGAAAAGTCAAGGCTGTCATTTTTCACTTTCTCAATAAGTGATGAGAAACTTTGTCCGCCTGCTTTCTTTTATTGAAGAAGAATATAATTTTTTTGGTTTTTTTACGACTGTTAAGCCTGATACTTGATGCACCAAATCAATTGATAAACACTGTTCATAGTGGATCCTTATGGTTACAGTTTTTTGTGCTTGTTCACCTACATAGTGGAGAGCTCGGACGACTTTACAATATCCATCAGTCTGCACTATTTGATAATACTGTTATGTTGCTCGTGCAATTTTGTTGACCGCCATCTATCTGCTAGTCAGACTGTCCCAGTTGTTCAGAAGGATGGTGGGGCACTCATTCGATTAGGGGGGAGGGGGGGGGGGCTACACCTGAAGGCTATCTCGCTTATTACTGGACCGAATTTTACCAAATTTTACGCATATAACAAGCATACTAAGGAGTCTTTAAATCCGCAATCAAATTTGAGAAAAAGTTTCGTTTCCATGGATATGGCGGCCATATTGGATTTTGTTGACATGTCATACGTAATGAATACCGCACTTATCGCTCATGGAAATTGAATGTTTTTTTGCATGCGTGTTCACAAACATTAGATCTAAAAATTGGTTTGTTGTTTTTTTCCTAAACGAATTAGAAAATTTTTTCTGAATTTTTTTCTGAGGTAGCATTCAAGTTTTAAAAAAATCCTTAAAAACCCACACTCCAGACACCACCAAAAAAAATCTATTCCATATATCAAAAATTCAACAGACAAACTTATAGTATTACATTTTTTCTTCATTCTGTGAAAATGTCAAGAAGATTGGATGAAAAATGGTGGAGTTATTCAAAAAAGTATAGAGAAAAGTCGCGTTTTGAGAAAACGGCCGATAAAGAAAAATAAAATACTGACTTTATGAGGAAATGGCGGTGACAAACATGTCCGGTATGGGAAAAAATACAGTTTTTGGGGGTTCTTATATGATGAAATAGTTATAGGAGAGGCTGAGGAAGCTAAAAATGCCTACAACTCAAATTCCATAATTTTTAGCCGAATTTTGACTTTGGGGGTGTAGCTCCCCCCCTTAAGTTCAATATTTTCCTTTCTTGTTGGTTTGTAACGTACACCAGTATTCAATTTGTTAAGTTTGGTTCCATTCAAGGCTAGTAAAAGAAAAATGATTTGGTTATTTATTTGTTCAGTTCTCTTTATGTTTTCATTTCTCCTTTGACTGTTTTTAGTTGCATTTTTCTGAACTGAAAATATTGTAAGTATTGTGCCCCTCGTATTGTTTTTTTTTTTTTTTGTGAAGCACATATCCCTGTTTCCCCTTCTTGTTTCTCGATGTATTAAGAATATTATGCTAAATCAAAATGAAAACTGCTCTTAGAAAATTTAGGATATTTACAAAGCTAGAGAAACATAGTTTTTATTAATCAAAATCCAGTTGTACTATGTGTTTTGTTTCATTTTTCTAGAGATTTTTTGCTAGATGCCTATAAGGGATAATTGTTTTTACTTATTTTTGTCACTTGCTAGTGTTATACCCCATACTGCTGCTATTAGATACAGCTTATATTTTAATTTTTCAGCACATTGTGATATCTGTTATGGACTTTGCTGAACTCGGGGTAGAGATGAAGGGAGTGGGGGGGGGGAGCTTCTTTCTCTATTGGGGATGTTGCTAAACATTAAAGAAAGGAAAAAGTGTCTTTGAATTGTGAGTTTTTTGGGTTGTTTTTTTCCTTTTTACCATGAACATCTTCTTTTCCACAGGCTAGGATGTTGATCGCTGAACATGATCTGCTTTCTGTGATAGTCAAGGCATTTCTCTCAGCTTGTGATCACAAGAAAAATCGTAAGGGACTTAGTCTTCATTAATTCTTCTTTTTTCACTGTAATGAGATGCCCCTTTTCATTTTCAGCTTTCCTGGTCAGTGTTACTGTTTCTTGACATGAAAGTGGTATACGATATTTTTCAGACTACAGCCTTGCGTACTACTGTGATAAATTGGATTCCTGCTTCTCCCCCCCCCCCCAGCAATTCCCAGATCAAATTAACGCAATAATTTGCCTTTTGCCTCTTTTCATTCTTTTTTTTGAGTTTAGCCTTCCTCATGTCCCATTTGAAACTGGTTGGTGCTTTCTTTTTATGTTACCTAAATGAGTAAAGGGTTACCTCAGTTGTTTAAAAGCAGTCTTTTTTTTGTGAAATCTAAGTCCAACAGTATTTCAAATGCAAACAAAGACTTGTCCTTTCATCAGAATAGGTCACTCGTATTTTTCTTCTTTAAAAATTTAAAAAAATTAAGACTCATTTTCATTGTGGGGTTGTCCTTTTTTTATAAGGGGGGAAAGGTCGGCAGAACTGGAAATACAAAGGACTCTAAGGTTCACTCCATTTCGTTGACAGTCAGTTGCTCTTTTGTGCTTTTGCAGGGATTTTATTAACTGGATGTAGTGCTTTTTGTCTTATCATAGCCCTCCCAAGGGTTCGATCATTGTGGTCCTTCAGTCGAGAAGTAAGAACTATCGACAACAAAATTTAATGAAGATGATAGTACTCTTTAAAACGGCATAGGCCATGTTTGCAAAAGAATAGTTTGTATGACATGTTGAAGAACCCACCTTTGACTCTCTCACAATCAAATATGAGGCGTGCTGAATAAAATGAGTTACTTGTCAGATTTTAGCCCCATGGACAAAGATATGTCAAATTTATAGTTTGAGTTTTTACAATTTATTTGCCTTTCGGGTGGTAAACACAGCATATACCGTGCTTATGCAACTGGTCCCTGAGATGCAAACACAGCATATTCTGTGCTCGCTCCTAACATGGGTAGTCTAATTTTAAACTACACCAATGCAGTTAAAGAAAGAGTATGACATCATGTGTTGTTCCTAGAGATTTTTGGCCCATACCTCCATTTTGGATTGTAAGAAGAGCTACTCATTTTGTCAGCACGTCTCACAAATATAAATTCTTGCGTTATGAGTGCTACATGTCCACACACAGACTCAAACTGCTATCAACAACATCACTCAGCACCAAGCGAAAAGCCATTCACTTTCCTTTGACACTCGCTCACAATAAAAGAGCAGATTTTGTAAAGGTATTCGATGTCTCCCTCCAAATGATATTTGCACTGTTCTCACAGGAAAGGTGAAAGGAAAGTTAATAGTTTTTCATGTGGTGCTGGATATTGCTGTTAATAGAGGTTTGGGTCTGTGTGCGGACTTGTTGCACTCATTATCGCAAGGGTTTACATTTGACTATTTCTCCCAGGACTAGGTAAACTGAGTTTTGACCGAGCAGAGAGAAGTTCTGTCTTCAAGAGGTCAATGTATGTTCTTCACGATCTCAAGTAAGTGGAACTTTAAAAAGCTGTTTTGCTAAAAAAAAAAATGGATTCTGTTCAAATTTTTGCTACAGTTTGCCTTGGCTCATACCTTGAAGGTGTTTTCACTTGGGAATGATGACTTAAATTAGTTGATTGAGAGTGGAGCCTAGTTTAAACAAAAATGCTACATTGGGCACAGCGTAGAAAAGCAAGCCATTTGAAGTTAACCAGTATCAAGATTTCTGTATACAGATGCCTCCAGCAAGGTAGATGCCCCTGCAACAAAGTGCTGATAGTCAACAGTTTCATCTCGTTGGCTACAATTTTTTAAAACCCCAAAGTTCTTAAATAGTATGTAGAGAAGTTTTGCTTAGTTAATGAAAAAGATCAGTTCAGTATTCGCGTGGCCATTTTTTAAATTTTCATTCCTCTATCTCTTTAGTTATGTTTTTGAGTATATAACTGCCATCAAGTACAAGGGGTATGGTCCGCCTCCTTTGACAATATTTCTCCTAGCTCATTGTGTCATAAATCCATGTCCTGAATGTTTGATATGTAGAACTCAATTATCTGCCTGGTTTTTGTGAAATGTACTTTTTTTAAATTAAGGAGGAACAGACTAAATCATTTTGCATTCATTAATTAATGTACATATTTCCGGTTTTGTTTATTAATATGTAAGTTTGTCTGTAGAATCATGCTTACAAAATCTTTTTAGGTATGCCCTGGTGTGCAAGCCTACAAGTCCAGAGGACTGGTCTGAAGCCTTGAGGAACAACTTCCTCCGCGGCCTGACATCATTTTTGTCTCTGCTCACAATGATTCAGGTAAATCCCCACTTTATATGGTAAAGGAAGGGAGTGTTGGAAGACGACTGTGCTTTTTGTATCAAAATCAACCTTTCTTATATGTGTCGTTGTTCACTAAATACTTTCGGTATACGTAGACAGAGATGGTACTGTCTTTTGTTATTTCCAGACTGACAATATATTATACTCTTTAGTTCCTGTCTTGTGCGACCGACATCTATTGTGATGTAATGGTAAAGTACTTTTTCCTTGCACACAGAACACTTGAATTTAATTCCTGCTTGGAGAATAGTATTTATCAAATATCTTTTATCTCTGTGAATATTTCATGCATTGTATCAATGGTTGTCGCCCGTGTGGTTCTCGGTGCCCTGTCCAAGAGACAGGGGAGCAAAGAATAGGACCACTGTATCCGTACCGCGCATGTCGTAGAAGGTGACTAAGGTCAGTTGGGCAAAGGGTTAGCAGCCCTTTCTCGTAAAACAAAAAGCAGCTACAAAAACATCAGCTGCAAAAACAACACGACTGCCAGTTCTGGAAGATATAGGACCTTCATCACCGAGGAGAGGAGAGAATATGGAGTGTAGAATGACGCAGGATGGTGAAAGCCGAAAGGAAGCCACCAAGCCGAGAAACCTCCTGTCGACCGAAAGGAATCCACCAAGCCGAGAAACCTCCTGTCGACCAGAAGAACCACCAGGCTTGGCACCTGGAATGTTCGTAGAATGTACGAGGCAGGGAAGGCACTGCAGGTTGCAAGAGAGACGGAGGGCTACCAACTGGACATATTGGGTCTCTGTGAGACGAGATGGACGAATGCAGGGGAGTGCCAACTTGCTTCAGGGGAAACAGTTCTCTACTCTGGACATCTGGAGGAAAACTCGCCGCATGCAGAAGGAGTAGGTATTAAAAAGCGGGGACATCATGGAAACGGATAGAAAAGGATGCTCTGGACAGGCTTCGCTGGAGTAAGGCTGTTGATGGCCTGTGCTCCACTGGGAGTTAAAAAGGGCAAGATAGAGAGAGAGATCAATGGTTGTGAACTTCGTTGCCACTGTGACTCTACAACAACTGCATTCTGACAAAACTTTTGTGTCGTATCAATGATCAGGACAATTATCTTGTGTTTTTGCTGTTGTGTCTAATGCTAAGGGCATAGGCTTATTGGCTGTAGGATGACAATTGTACTGTGTTGTACTTTATTAGGGCATAGATTGTTGACTGTTCTCTGACAATTGTCTTGTGTTCTTGTACCTCATTAGGGCATAGTTTTTTTTACTGTGTTCTGACATTGTCCATGGGTGGTTGGCGGGTGCTCTGGTGTGGTTTGCTCCTTCTTTCCTATCCACGACGTCACTTTTCGCCCGATTCTGTTACTTTTAGTTAGTGTGACTCAGCAGCTCGCCGGAGCTCCCTGGCTTGGGGTCACGGGCTTAATGAGCCCTGAAGCGACTTTGCCGGTGTTGGTTAAGGAGTTCCCATTTTTGTCCATGTTTGAAACGATATGACTTCTAAACCATTACACTGATGGACTAAAAGCTCAATTTTTAAAGATTTATTCTGTGTTAGAACAGTTAATTTCTGTGCCTTAGTTTTTGTTCTAGACAAGTGTTTTTAGAGTACCCAATTTGTCCTATTTTAGTTACAAACTTATGAATAAATGATAGTTTATTTAAAAACGGCACGACAGATCTCTCCAAAATCTGTGTTAAACTGACTATGAATATCATGTCTTTTACTATGAGAAATCTGAAATCTGTGCAAGTAGTTTTGTGAAGTTATTAGAGAAGAAAGATTCACGTCTGCCTTCTTTAACTAAAGGCACTCAACGTTAGCTCTTTATTTTACCATTAAACAAGAGAAAGTTACTCTGCGTTTGTTCATGAATCGTGCTGTGTCTGTGGTAGCCTGCACACAACTAAGAAAGATATATTATGCAACTTAAAAAAAAGAAAACTGTGTAAATACATGGGTAGGGATAAACTTGTATGGAATAAAAATAATGACAGCTAACACATTCATTTTTAGTTTTTATGTCGGAAATATGCCCGCACACTTATGAATGTAAAGAAATCAGAGAGGGCTCTCGTGGCCTAGAGGTTAAGGTGTTGGCCTCTAATTCAAAGGTCCTGGGTTCGATTCCGGGTAGCGACCAAAAAATTTTCTTCTCTAAAATTGTCTCCTTTCACCTCCTTTCCTGCTCTCTAACAATGTTCTGTTGTCTGCTTTCATTTCCACTTTCTGCCCCCACCCCCTCACCTCCTTTGCCCCTCCTCTGGGCTCCTGACTCTTTCTGCAGCCTTTCTACTGCTAATCCTTGGCTCCTCCTTACTGCTGTCTTTCTGCCACACCCCTGATCTTCTGGTAGGAAAGATCTACATTTAGCCTTCTCGGACAAGGGCGAAAAATCTCGGAGGGCCCGCGTGCAAGTTGCGCAGGTTAAAGATCCCTTGGTGGTCTAAAATCAATAAGAGTAGGCTTCGGCCGCCACCCGGGCAAAATTCAAAATTTCCTACCAACTGAAAATATTAGGTGTGTCCCGCGCGCTCATATGACCTTATGCAGTTGCGAGCGCCGTAAAACACTTTACAAAAACAAAAAAACAAAAGAAATCAGAACATTGTCAGTTATTGCAAATGGTCATAGAAACGAAAATATAAGCTGGAAAAGTCAGGTGCTGATTCAGTGTCACCAGAAAGCTTGATATTATTCTTATAACCCAATTACAAGAGGTCATCCCTGTTATTCAGTCAACTTACAAAACCTAGACTTAGTGCTTTAAGAAAAGTACGGAATTTCAGGAGTGTAACAGATACTGTTTGTGTATTGCATTGTAGAAGTTTTCTTGCACTAAAATCGATTTGTACTTTTTCATAGAGAGACTACAGGGTAATTTTTTCAAACGTTTGAGAAAATATGCGAATATTCACGATTATATTAGACACATAAAGTTGTATTTGGAGGAATTACTTTATAGCGAATTGTGTGCCAGATGGATAAAGTTTCACAATTACTGCTTTCTATTATATATGCGCAGATACCATCTTTTCTGAGTAACTGCTCCAATGTTATGTCATTCATGTTCCAAAAGCTCGACAGTTTTTGTTGTGTCGTTTATTTTTTATAAATATTTTTTCATTCACACTTGTCAAAAAAATGTTACAATTTAGCGTTGCCGACTACAGCGCGTCTAATGAAATAACCAGACAGATTACAATGTCCGTTCTTTTTTTAGTCTCAAGTGCTGAACTGCTTGCTTTGTGTGCATTAAATGATCATTATCATAAATACAAGGATACACCTAAAAGTACCAAAAATCAAGTCAGCCCAGACAGAGCGGTGACAGGGAGTTGACCCCCGTGACCCCGACGTGATAAGGCACTTGGCCGGGAACCCCCCGCTGCAACTAAAATTCCACTGCCAGTGTGCCGTGTATCAAACATCTGTCGTCCTTATTTCCCGTCCTTATCTCCCGTCCTTTCATTTTGTGTTTGTTACTCTCTAGGAACTTATATGACGATATTGTATTGCAAGTGCCGTAAAACACTTACTAAAACTAACTGACATTGTCCTGTGTTGTCGTACTTTATTAGGGCATAGATTGATGACCGCTCTGACAATTGTCCTGAGTGCTTAACGGGTGCTCTAGTGTGGTTTGCTCCTTCTTTTCTATTAAATATCTGTCATCATTGATCCTCCTCCTTTTATGTGTTTGTTACTCTCTTGTAACACCTCTAATCTTCGTACCCCGCGGGGCAGTGCCACTGACTGAAGTGTCTTTAGGCCATTCCCAAAGGGGGGACATTTCTCATTCAAGCATAGTAGAATTGTAAATGGACTGACTCATGTCACGCTCATAACTGTGCCTGATCTACAACAGGGAACTGCTGCTTTTTCTTTCCTGATCCTTACTATTGTCATTATCCTCTACTTCTTTTGTATGTTTGTCACTCTCTTGTGACCTGCTATTTTGGGGTGCCTTGATAGTCGAAGCAGACCTTGTGCTGTTGAAGCTAGAGAGGTGAGCAGTCTTAGTCTGATTCCCTGAAAAGACTTCTCTGTTGACACCCACCCCTTGGCACTCATATGACCATATGCAGTTTCGAGCGCCGTAAAACCCTCTACTATAATTTTTTTTAAACTAATCTTCGGCACTTATATGACCTAATTGCACAGCATGTACCTTAAAATGCTTACTGAAACTAAACTGACAATTGTCTCGTGATGCTGTACCTTAGGGCATGGATGCGGTTAAGCGGCAGACTGGCCAGCACTTGGAGTTTGACCCTGAGTGGGAGGGCGCCTTCACCATACAGATCAAACTGGAGGACTTGCTGGTGCTGTTTTGCGAATGGTGTGCAGCTGATGTGAGTACAAGTCATACAGTGTAGAGTTTTAGTTGTATAATACGGAAAGAAAAAGAAAAAGTAAACGGAGGCATGGGTATTTTGGAAATTTTATGGTAATATTAGAAGAATGTTTTGACATTTTGCCCCATTTGGGCTTAAGAATAAAAAAACCCAAAACATCAGCAACACTAAGTGTAGAGTTATTGATGTTTGGGTTTGTAGTATGTGTTCGATCTGATGTGGTTTACTTTTCCTGCCTCTTTTATCTGCTACCATTGCTTAACCTGTAAATTACAACAAAACTTTACTAAGGTATGTCAGAACTGTTTGACTTAGTAGTGACAATGGTACAAATGTTCCGTTGCTATATTGAATGGGCATATAATTTTTTAAGCCAATCTGAGGTCGGTGGGTAGTTGGCGGGTGCTCTGGTGTGGTTTGCTCCTTCTTTCCTATCAAACGTCTATCGTATTTATCTCCCCTCCTTCTTTTTTGTGTTTGTTACTCTCTTGTATGACCTCTAGTCTTTGGCACTTATATGACCTTATTGTGTTGCAAGTGCCGTAAAACTCTTACTAAAACTTTTTAAAAACCCATCTGAGGTAAAGTGGAGATTCCCTGCTTTGTTTAACCTAGTAAAGGGATTTGTGGGACCTGTAGATATAACAAATATTGATAAAACTACCATCATACAAAAACAACGCCATAGTTTTGCGTTATGAAAACATCTTTTGCCTCTTGTTTATGGATTGAACAAAGTAGTGTTCAGTGCGGTCCCATTTCTCTTTTTCAGCGTTACTTGTTGGTGGAAGGTTACAAGGCCGTGATGGAAGTTTTGGCAGGCTGCAGGGAGACATGCACATATAAAAATGCCACAGGTATAAATGTATAATGATGATGATAGCATTTTGTTTTGCCATATGAATCACGACATGATTGAATCAGGCACTTATCACTTTTTTGACATATGGAGTTATTGGTATAATCTTAAAGGCTGTTCATTTGTCTTGCTTATAATGAAAAAAATACCCATTTGTCTTGAATAGAAGTTGAGATATTTGCTATTAAAGGAGGTGGGCGTTACCAGGTGTCAGAGGTAAAATTAGCCAGAAAATAATGCTGTTGTTGTTGAAGAACGTGAGGTTAGATGTGTGTTTGGACCTGTGAATGTGAGAAAGGCGTGTGGTCCAGACGGTGTGCAACCCAAAATTCTGAAAATGTGTTCAGCACAACTTAGTTTTATTTACACCTATATTATCAACCAGTCGTTGTTGACACATGCTATTCCCACTATTTGGAAATGTTCTGAAATCGTCCCCCTTCCAAAGAAAGAAAAAATTACTGAAATGAATGACCTCAGGCCAATAGCCTTAACATCGGTAGTTATAAAATGTCTAGAAAAAAATTGGGCTAAAAAGACTACGAATGTACATAGAACCCATCCAGGATCCTCTACAATTTGCATATCGTCACCGGAGAAGTGTGGAAGACGCCATTTTACTATTTCATGACAACATATATAGACACTTAGACAAGCCAAAAACATACTGTAGGCTCCTGTTTGTTGATTTTTCGTCAGCCTTTAATACTTTCCAGCCAGCTATCCTTTTCAAGAAATTAGAAAACATTGGTGTTAACGTCAATTTAATATCATGGATAGGCAATTTTCTTACCAACCGAACCCAGTATGTAAAATTAAAACATTCTTCATCGACATACATCACATCAAATACAGGGGCCCCTCAAGGATGTGTTTTGTCACCAGTTTTATTCACACTATACACGAATGATTGCCAAATAAACAACAGTAACATCAAGTTCATAAAATTTGCAGATGATTCAACCATAATTGGGCTAATTCAGGCTGACCATAACGAAAGCGCTTACTGGAATTTTGTACTTAACTTTTTCAAATGGTGGGAAAATCATAAGCTGCTTTTTAATGTGAAAAAAACCAAAAGAACTTGTTGATTTTAGAATAAAGAAACTGCCCCTGCAGCCACTCGAAATTAAATGTGAAAACATCGAGCAAATGTCAGACTATAAGTATTTGGGTGTTACAATAGACAACAAACTCAACTGGCATGTCCACACTTCTCTTCTGCATAAAAAAAGTGAACAAGAGACTATTTTTTCTAAGGAAACTAAAGTATTTTAAAGTTGATAAAACATTGATGTTCATGTTCTACCATTCAACCATAAAAAGTATGATCAATTTTTGTATAACAGCATGGGCCGGTAACACAAGACAACAAGATAAAGAAAAATTAAATCGACTAATACGGAAAGCATGTAAAATTTCAACATCTACATTCCCCTACTTGGATGAATTGTACATAACAGCTTGCACTAAAAAAATTAATTCCATCTTTTTAGACAGCAATCATCCCTTGTTCCCTCAAATAAAAACATCAGTCAGAAGTAAAAGACCTAGGCTTCTGATCCGTAACAAAGAAAGATACAGTTATCTATCAAAATGCTTCCATCTTAACCATCTTGTATAAGTATACTTACGACCTTAGGGCATTCATCAAAATAACATTGAGTATGTATCTAGCTTACGATTATTATTTTTTATATTTCTGCTCATTTATATTATGCATGTGATTGTAAGCCTATGTGTGTGTGCATGTGTGCACGCGCGCGCGCGTGTGTGTGTGTGTGTGTGCACGTGGTGAAACACCAAACCAATGTGCCAGGATCTGGACCATAAAGATGTATCTTATCTTATCTTATCTTAAAATGGCTGCCAAGGTTTGGTTCATTGCAAAGCTTGAGTGCCCTTGGAAGCAGCAAATGTACCCTTTTTTTGTGTGCCTTTCATCAATATTTTTGTTCTGCAAAATTCACACAGATGTGCTGAGGCAAAAAATAGAAAGTTCGATAAAAATTGCTGAGTGAGTGGAGAAAATACCGGTTTCTTTGATTTCATTATTTTAAAGAGTGCCTGATTTCACCATGATGCAACACATATATGTGAGTTGTATGTATTTTTAGCCTTGCTGGAGTCGCACCAAATTCTATATTACCTTCTTGTCTATTATTCTTTTCAAAGGATAAAGATAAATTAATGGTAGAGTTTATTTAATGTAGCTTGTAGGTCTACATGAATGGGATCACTTTGTGAGAAGCACCACACTGTTGGTCCAAGTGAGCCTTTCCTAAAATGGGAGTATCACTGATGGTTTAGATCAGTTTTCAAGCTTGGCCCAAGACAGTTGGAAATTTTCCAACTTGTATTTGCAGAAACTTTGCCAAACTTGCAATAGTCCCAATTTAACAAGTAACTTCCAATGAAGGTCCCATTCTTTTTTTTTTGCTACGAAAATACTTTGCATCTCTTTTGGTAGACAAAGTTGACCCACTTTGCTCTGTATATAAACTTTAGTCAGTATGTTAGTATCATGGTCAGTCTTTGCAATCCGAAAAACACAGCTTATCTTCCAGCTAGGGTTAACACTTTGAACCCATGAGGCCAGTGATTTTTGCTGTTTTGAGTACCCGTTGAAAAAACTTTGAAAATGTTGAATTGACAATTATGATTTCACTATGTTCTTTTTTTGTTTTCAGTGGGGAATCACACTGGGGAGGTGATCGACTTTGATGTGTCCACGGACCCAGTTTCTATACACTACCCTCTGAATAGGTTTCTGGCCGGTGAGGACATAAGACTGAATTGAATTCATTAACTCAAGCATTAACATGACATTTGACTCTGTCTTTTTAAGATTAAAAAAAATTAATTTTTCTGCCTTTTTTTTTTTGGTGCTAATAATAAGATTACATTGTTGTTTTGAAATACTTTTTTCCTTCTTCTTTCTTGAAAAACTTACTTGTTGAAAGTATCATCGCTCAGATTTGATTTTCCTCTGTATACTGGTTTGATACTGTTAAAGCACTTGATGGGTTCAGACTATATCTAAAGTAAATTGGAACTTGTTCGTCTTTTTCATTTAACTTTTGCAGTATTATTTCCCCTCCACCTATTAAACATGTATCACACTGAAAAACATTTATGAAACTTTTTTGTTAATTTCATTTACTCAGTCATAGTTGTACCTTTTATAGTGGAATAACACACACACAGTTACATGGTTATATCATGTACTTTTTATAGCAATTTATAATTTGATGAATTGTGTATATTATCCTCTTTCTTTTTTTTTCTTTAACCTCTTGCCTTTGAAATGGTCTAGATGTTTCTAGTAGGGTGTTACAGTGGCACAAATGTAAAATGAAACAGATATTTAACAATATTGTTAAACTACTTTATTGACGAAATTTTTATTCCAGCTCTGCATGTTCATTTGGAGACCCATGGACTGACTTTTTCTTCTCCGGAACTGCAAAATCCTGTGAGTTGACATGGAACTTGTCTTTCTTTCCTGAACTTTTTTTGGATCTGATTGTATGTTCATTTAAAGTACATTTTACCAGGAATTTTTAATTTGTTACCTCTTTCCTCCGGAAAAAATAGTTTGTTTCAATGGAAAAGACATAGTCAAATTGTGTCTTTATACAGTCATACTTCTTCGAGGAAACCACTTATTGACGAGGAGAAAAGTGGTCTTCTTAGACAGGTGGTTCATTGTCCTCTTGGACAGTCATTATATATATATATATATATATATATATATAAATATATACATTCGAACCTGTGTAAGATGGAATTGCAAGGGAGCGGTAAAAAAATTCCGTCTTAGACATTTTCCGTCTTAGACAGGGAAATTTAGGGGGGGGATTTCAAAGGCTCAGCCGGTGGGATCAAGGATCGCTTGTCCGATCGGCAAGCACTGGGTCAAAACTTCACACCTCTCAGCTGCTATCCTGTCTGATAATGACATGTGTCAGTCTTACGTATCCAATTACCACCAGTGCTTGCCTTTCATAAGACCACTGTTTGACCTATTAAAAACAGAAATGTTTGAACATCTCCTTTGCTTCCACCCTTAGTCCCTAACTCTTTTCTCGGCAGGCCGTACGATCAGGGCGGCAGGCATTGGTCAATCTAATTTCTCACCTCTGGCTTCTGGCTACCCAGGAAAGTTTCCGTAGTGGCTCGCTACTCGAGCACTCTCACGGGCAGTGGGGAGATTTCACACACACACTACACTGACTATCTGCTACCCCCGAATTGCACCCGTACTCCCCTTCCTCGCCCAGTGGCATGGCCATGGTGTTAAGTGTAGAGCCAGCCCAACCAAACTTGCGAGTTTTGTTTCAAATCAGGGCTGAGTGGGCAAAGCATTTTCCGTCTTAGACAGGTGAAACTCTCGGAAGGGAGCGGATTTTTCTTTTCGTTTCCGCGTTGGACAGGTTTCCGTTTTATACAGGTAATTAAAAGAGGAATATATCAAGGGGGGAGCAGGGAGATTCCGTTAAGACAGGTTTCCGTTTTACACAGGTTTCCGTTAAGGCAGGTTTGACTGTATATATATATATATATATAAAATGCAAGGGGGTGGAAGAGTGGGAATTGTATGTTTGTTCAGATGATTGTCTTGGATAGGTGGTCGATAGAGCAGGCTGTATATGTACATCTATCTGGAGGGATGTGGAAGAGGGAGCTAATTTTTCTGAGAGTTATTTATTTTTTTCCAATGCTGTTACGGAAAAACCCTGTTTCTGTAATTCTCCTCATTTCTCATTGTCTGAGCTTGTTGTTGTTTTTAGTTGATCAAGTCTTTCAGAAAAGTCCAATATTGTTTATGTTTGCAATATTCTTTACAGACAGAGACCAAGTGTGTGTTTAAAAGTATATCAACACTGTAGGCATATTGCATCAAGTGTAGAAATAAAAATGGTACGGACTTGAGACTGGCAAAGAATTATTTTCAGTACTTTTTTCTGTGTTAGGCAAAATGCAAAAGCCTGAACAAACTTTCTTTTATAAAATTTTGCAGACTTTAGCAGAGATGGCAGCTAGCGTGGACGTTCCCACCACTGGCCCGCTGGATGTGAGGGAGTTGATGGAACCAGCGCTGCGTATACAGGTGCTTCTAGCTCAGTGCCAGGCGGGCATGTGGCGCCGGAATGGTTACAGCCTGCAAAATCAAGTGAGGAACAGAAACTGTCATCTTTGTTATTTTGATTTCATGTGCTTTGGTTTTTAAATGTTCTTTTGTAATTCGAGCATTTTATTTTTTGGTGATTTTGACTGGTATTTTTTTCTTTGTATAATTTGAATTATTGTGATCCTGTTATTTGAACTTCATAAAAGTATACTTATCAATGCGGCTGTTTCGTGCAGGGTTATTATGGACAAGAATAAGTGCCATTCCTCAAGTATTCAGTTATTCTCTCTAAAGTTGTGACTAAATTTGATGTGAAAATGTGTAGTGTGACGTATTTTCTCTCATTTTTACCAAATTTTCAACTTAGGAATTTTTGTTTATATTTTCTCAGGTGTTCTTCTACTCCAATCTCCGATGTCGACAAGAGATGTATGACAGGGATATAATCATGCTACAGGTACAACTTGTTGTGTATTCAAGGAGCAAAAATGTACGCAGCGAGTGCAAACTTATTCACTTGTTCGTTCTAGTTGTCAGGTCTGCTGATGTCCTGAGGCTACTGTATGACAGTATTTGGCTGAGCCCGTGTGTGTCAGTGCCAGTCCCTGGGTAGAGTTTACAGTTGTAACTTTACTTACTTTTACTTTACTTTTCCTATCTAGCAGCCTTCTGAGTTATAGCCTTTCGGCCTGTGCAGTCCTAACAAACTCGTTATGTGCCAATGGCTTCTGGTAGATGAGTGTTTATAGTGAGGTATGAGTATCATCCCGGGGTGGTCTAATACTTTTAAAAAAATGATTTTGTGCCATTATAAAGGAGATCAGCTATTTAGCCCCGGTTGGCTACTTTTCTAGGAGGGAAAGTCTGAGAGGTACATGTATAGAGCATGACTTGATGTCAATTTTCATCTGTTAGTAACACTTCTTAAAGCAAAAAATCCCAAAAATCATGTGGAGATAATAGCTCATTCACTATGTCAATTTGTAATTTTCAACACTCGTGGACATATATTCTTCTGCCAACATGTACCTGTATAGTACATACGTTTTACTTTTCTCAACTGATTTACATATTTGTTTATCAAAGTATAACATATTATATATCAGTTAAAAGAAAATTGAATGGGAATTCTTTAAAAAATAATAATTTTTTTTTACCAAAACATGAAAGTCAGAATGGGAATATTTTGAGTATATATTGAGGTATAATGTTGAGCTGGTAGTGATGAGGAAGATGTTGACCCGATAAGTCGGCTTGTTGTGTTGAAGGAGTAAACCCTGTCTGACTACTCAAGGCTCATCAGGAATACACAGATGCTCAGCTGTGCCGAATTCCCAGATTACCGGTAATTTGGAAGCTGTCTTGAGAAAAAAAATCATGCCCTGACTTTTTAAAAAAGTAAGCCTATAACCTCTTGACTCGAAATATAAACATGCAGATGTTTGAATTATTTCCAATTCCGTTACTTTTCATCCAGATTGCAGCATCTCTTCTGCCGGGTGACGACTTTCTGCTGCAGCTGCTCAACAAGTACAACCTTCTCAACTGGGTCAGGTTAGTGTGCCACATTTGCTGTCCCATTTGTTTGAACTTGTTCATTGTTTCCTCGGCCTCAGTTCCCCAGTGTTGGTACAGGAGGTCGTGAACTTTTTCTCATGCAGCTGTTTTAGGCTGGTGTTAATCCGAGTGGGTGCGAAATGATTCATCTCATCATGTTTACTCCGTCTCGTAAGAACTGGTGTTCATGTTTTGGGAACATGAGAACGTTTATCAGGATTGTCTACTCATTCTCACATTAACAGCAAAGACCGCTTTCAAAAAGGCTGAGACAAGCTGCATTTTGTTTCCATCTTGTATTTTGGACCAGGGAGTTTGCACTTGGTATAAAGTAGGGACAAAGAAGGGATGTGACCGTCTGGTGTAGCTTTCTCCTTTTCGTTTTTTGTGCTTGTCCTAGGGGAGATGAAGCGGGTCTTCTCATGCTTGCTTATCGTTTGCTTAGCTCGGTGTGTCTTTTCTCTGATTCTTAGTCTGTATAAACTCTTTCCCAAACATTTAAATATAACACTATACTGAGCTGCGACCCGTTCAATACATTGTCCCTTAGTTATTTAGGGAAAAATTTCAAACTACACCATCTCCACAAAGGAGTAGTTCCCTTGCCCCCCTTATTTAACTGTTTCAGTGCCATTTTCAACAGTCACCGAAATAAGGGTTCGGTCCAACTAAGGCAACCAATATGCATTTTGATTAACAACTCATGTGGCTTTCAAAACTTTCAGCTAATAGACCATCTATTATAAATTTTCACTTGACATCTCAAGCAGAAAACAATTCCTTGCAGATAAAAAATTTTGAGAAGCCTTTTTGCGTGGAAGGGTAAAATTGCTATTTTTTCCCATTCAGGGCTTGGCACTTACAGGGTATGCTAGGATTTAGGGGCTGGCACTGAAAGGGTTAAGTTACTAACCTGCAGGTTTTTGTGCAACCTGCTGATATGATTAACTCATCCATACTGTGTAGTGATAACTGTTTCACTGCATGGCGAGCTCCAGAGCTGGCCATGCAGGGTTACCTCCTGATTCCCCCCGTTGTTTGACCAAGCTGTCCTTGCCTGATCAAAGTCCTGATTATTTTGCCCCTGAACCGGAACCTGACCCAAACAGGATTGAGTATGACATCCCTGGAGGCCAGGAGGACTCTGTACGACAGACCGTCACCTTGGCTGAGGAGTTTCTTACGCTTCTCATCATTATCTTGGGTGAGTGAAAAATTTCTAGTCATCGTCTTGGGTGGGAGAAACTAATGACCCCACTTCAACAATTCCTTATCCTGTTCATTTGTTTTTTTAAAGAAATTCTAGATTTTTTTTTTGTTGAAAAAATCTTTTTAATTCTGTTTATTATCCACTTTAAATTATTTTATTTTTTTTGGTTGTCTTTTTGTTTCAAGGTATGTTTCTGGCAAGTGTGCTTTTCGTGGTCCAATTTTTAAAACTTTTTTCCTTTTTTATAGTGTGAGCATTTTCCTCAGTAAATTAAGAAAATACTGTTCTCACCACAATGCAAAGAATAGAAGCACAAATGAAATGGGCAAATTTTTCTATCATGAAGCTCAAAAAAAAATTGCTGGAAAAGAAAAAGTAATTCTCATTTGATTGTTGATAATTTATCATTTGATAGTAAGATTGCCTTTGTAATTCTCAGAGGAACGTTACATCCCGGGTGTGGGGCAAGTGGAGAAGAAAGACACGATCAAGCGAGAAGTGATCCATCTGCTCTGTATCTCACAACAGGCTCACAGTCGCCTGAGCAAATCCTTAAATGAAGACGTAAGTCCACATATGAATATATTGATGACTTTCTTTTGTCGAGTCTCCTATTCAGAATTTAGTCAATAAATAAGAGATTTAGAGATAATTTTGAGATTCCATACCTTTCCAGAATGAAAACTGGAAAGAAAACTGATCATTTGCTGTAAATCTGATTTTGAGCATTGTAATTTGGGATGAACTGGTCTGGTCTGGGTTTATTTTTAAAAAATGTTTTATTTTGTTGGAAGACATGGGTGTTTAGCAGTGTTATTTTTAAAACAATTTTGTGAGAATCAGTCTGCATCCCAAGGACAGTGTCATTTTTCTGTTTAGAAATGGAATTTTATATCATGTGTTCAATCGGTTGGATGTTCAGTCTTTGTATTCCCTTTTGCCCATAAATAAAGCACTCATTCACAGATTGTTGTCCTTTTTCACAGATTAATCATGAGACAGGCCTTGACTCGGTGGTGAACGAAATTGCTAATTTCAAGTAAGTTCAGACTTTAATATTTCTTTTTTCTGCTTTAGTGCACTTCTCTATTTTCCCATCAGACGTACACTTACACACTTTAAAAATGGTATGCTGGTTCTCCCTGATTGCTGGGTCTTCATTGATTGATATCCTTGTCTGAAGAGTTCTCTGATAATCTTTTCCTTTGTTTTGTCCCAACAGAAAACCACAAAGTGGGGGAAATGGCAAATTTGAGCTGAAGCCTGAATACTACAAAGAGTATTCACCATATTTCTACCACTACTACAAGGCGGAGCAGTCAAAGGTATTTTCTCAAAGAACTGAATAGCGTGCCGACTGTGCCTCAAGTTTTAAAGGAACTACTACCTTTAAATTCAACCTAAAAGATTCTTTTGTTCTCAAAAAGATTGCATCTTCTTGAAAACACTCTAGTAGTATGTTTAAGTGTGTTTGTATTATTTTTTATAGTGTCTTTAACATGTCTAATAATAATAATAATAATTTTAACAATTGCATTTATATAGTGGATATCCAAGCTCTACAACATGCTCTATGCACTTAACAACCATTATTACCACAGCAGAATGTAGAACATTCAGAAACATTCTCAGCTTCCTGTGAAGCATATGATGCAAGCTGTGAACTTCACTTGCTCAAACGCTAACAAACTGACAAGATCTTTCAATAGCCAGGAACCTGGGTGAAATGAGGAAAATTCGTGTAATGTACCTTTCCCAAGGACATAGCGTAGCGCCCCTTCTGGGATTTGAACCTACGACCTTATGGTTGCGAGTCTGACAGCCTAACCACTAGGCCACCGACGCTACATTTATGTGTTAATGTGAATGCATAAGATTTCATTTTTTAAAAATATATAAGTGTTCTAAATGAACACATAAATGTTTCTATACTTCCTGTGTGTCTTCTGGTTCTGATGCACAATTTGAAAGATTTGTAAGAGCTTTTCAAAAGTTCTCTATTTTGATATATTGTACTATAGCAGTTTACCTTTTCTATGTCTAAGAAGCATTTTGAAACATATTTTTAGTCCAGAAAAATGTTTCCTCATTTAAAAGAAATCTGAGGTAAATAAGTACAACTGTCTGATGTTTAGTATTCAGTGGTTGCTCGGTATAGCACAAAATAGTCTATTGTTTTGTTTTGTCTAAATGTGTGCAAAGTTTTTATAGTGCAAAGCTTTTATTTTGTGTTAAGATGATACTTTGGCAAGCAAGATTTTTTATTTGTAAACGTCTCTTTTCAGTCTGAAGAAGTCCAGAGACAGAGAAAGAAACAGAACGAGGAAGATCAAAGTGAGGAGAATATGTTAGCTTTTTGTGTCAACGTCAAAGAATGCCTTGTTTAGTCATTTTCTTGTTTTTTAGTTTTTGTGAGCGTTTCTTTTTTTTATAGTAGATTTAAATTGTCCATGTAAGGTTTGTTTCACTGATATGCATAGGTTACATTCCTGGCATCACTAGATTGACAAATTGAAGATGTAGAATACCTTTGCTGGTCCTGTTTTTGAGTCAGGGTCAGAGTGGTTTTGCTCAAGGCCAATCCACAGTGACTACCCTTCTAAACATCCTTTCAGAGACATTGAGGTGCAGGTGCAAATTGTAGAACATTTTGGGTTATATCCTGAAAGCTGTGGGATAGGCAAGGCACTTATATATTTTATAGCAGGTGATCCCATCTTTGATCGTTGCCTAAACTCCTGACTGGTTTGTCTGCCTGGATGACTAGAGTTTAAAGAAGAAAGCCCCTAGTGCAAAGAACAGGTTCAAGTCTTTAGCCAAATGTGATTTTACCATTGATGTTCTCCTCTCCCACATAATTGAAAGGGTCTAGTGTGTCTCTGATATACCTTTCAGTTTGTTGGTTTCTACATTGTAAGATGTAAACAATATTGATGTTCCGATACTTCTGTGTGATTTCAGCAATATAAAGTATACGATGAATTGAATGTAATTTCTTTTTCTGGATGTTTTTTTGAATGTAATTTCTTTTTCTTGATGTTTTTTTCAGGTTTGCCTCCTCCCCTCCCACCTGCATTATCGTCCCAGTTCCAGGCACTTGTCAACATTCTGCAATGCGATGTCATGATCCACTTACTCAGCATTGTCCTCCGCAGAACAGCGGCACCGAGGTCGAGGTCATGGTCAGAGGCCCAGTTTGACAGGGTATGTTCCCCATGGAGTAAAAGTAAAATGAAGTTGTTCCCACATCCGATCCGGACATTTGGGATTGCTTTGTTAGTGAGACAACTTCCTGGGCCTTCGGCATATTGTGGTAGGGTGGCCAGTTCCTTTCCATGCCACCTTTACTTCCCCAACTTGAAGTCAGGTACCTATGGAGTATACCCTTGAAATCGATAGATGATGGAATGTTGGGCTTTAGTTTTTAGCAGATTTACCGTGCTTTTAATGGACATTGACTGCACTGTTTATGTGAACGCCAAAATAAGAAAGTACAAATCTTAATTGGAAGTTTAGGGCATACTGAAAATTCTTTTATACTAAGACAGTGACTTTGAATCTAAAGATGTGAAATGTGCTGAAATGACAGAAAATAATGAAAGTGTGGTCAAATAATCCCTGTTTGAGCAATGTAAAATTTTAGAGATTGTCCTATGGAGTTTAGTGTATGCCTTATTGTGCAGGAGTTAAATGATTTAGTTGCAGTTTCAGAGTTGTGTGTGCGATGACATGGCCATTCACTTTGAATTGAACTTCTAGATTCATGCTAAACCAGCATCTGTGTTGCGATTAGGTGCTTCACCACCACATGCAGGAGATCAGAGTTCAGTTCCTGAATGGAAAGAATTTTTATCGAGTATCTCGGTCTTTCTTCAGGGATATTGTATCCCTTTCACCTTGGGTTGGCCATGACAGGCACGGTCGAAGCCCTCCTCTGAAATGTTCTAAATTGTGTCGATGGGACGCAAAAAACTTACATTCATAATAATAATAATAATAATAAATGACATTTACATAGCGCTCAACCCCAATTAGAGTACACAGGCTCTGAGCGCTTTACAATACAGTACATTATACAACAATAACATAAAACATTGTGTTCTGACTAAAAGAAAATCACTCCAAATATTCATCTTACAAATTTAAAAACAAAAATGACTTCAGCTTGACATTTGAATGAATCAAAAGATTTGATCTCTCTTCATGTACTTGGCAAAGCATTCTAGGTCTTGGGGCCTTGATATTCAAATGTCCTTTCACCCATTGTTTTAAGTTTCATAGATAGTAAAAGAAATTCCTTTTTGTCAGCTGATGACCTTAAACTGCGAGTTGGAATGTAGTCTTAACAGATTTGATAAATATGATGGCGCATTATCATTCAAGCATTTGTGACATAGGGTGGCCATATTGTACACAATTCTTTTCTCAACAGGAAGCCAGTGCAATGTCGGTAAAAGAGGTTTAGCAGAGTCTCGCTTCCTTTTCTGTATAACTAAACGTGAAGCATTGTTTTGGACAGTTTGAAGTCTTTTAACTTTCTCCTGTGATATTCCTGATAACAAGGAGTTACAATAATCGAGTCTTGATAAAACTAAGCGAGTTACTAGTAAAGCAGTTTACTTAGTATTGATTAGATGACATATTTTACTAATTATTCTTATTTCTAAATATATGCAGCTGATCAGATGATTTACCTCAGCCGACATTGACAAACTGGAATCAAAATAGATGCCTAGATTCTTAACTTTTCTTGAAAATTCTGCATCACCAATTGTCATACTAATGTCCCTGTGTCTGGTCACCAGCAGCGAACTTACAGTGTGCTGTGTTTTGTTCTCAGGTTCTTTTCATCATTGGGTTGGCCTTACATGAGCAGATTCGTGCCTATGAGCGGGGAGACAGATCTTTTCAGTTTCTGTCCAAGGCTATGAGAAAGTCTGTGCAGGAAGCTGGCCAAGAAGGTGAGATTAGATCAATTTTATTCCTTCTGTCGGGAAGAAATTGACAAAGTGTTGTTAATGGTTTTTGCAGCACCTTGTTTTGACTTGTGCATTCACCATTCAGGCTCATTAAGCACCGGTGGGCGCACGAGGTCTCTCTTTCTCTGTCTCTGTCTCTGTCTCTGTCTCTCTCTCTCTCTCTCTCTCTCTCTCTCTCTCTCTCTCTCTCTCTCTCTCGCTGTCTCTCCCTCCCTCCCCCCCTCTCTCTCTGTTTCTCTCTCTCATGCGTCAACTCTTTTTTATTCTAAAACCATTGCAGATGTCGATCTGTGTGTTGCGAATAATGCACGGGAGTCAGCATGCACTTTTAATTGTATAAAAAAACAGGGGGTTTACTTCATATATTCTGTTTAAGTTAGATGAGGGTTTTTTTTGGGTGTTTTTTTTATCTCTGAAGCATTTTCAAGAGACAAGTTAAATGGTAAGATCAGAACACCCTTGATGTGACACTAATGAGACTGGTTCTTTAAAGTAAGGCACAACCCTGCCTTTTTTCTAAATATTTTTTTAAACCTCACATTTAGGTTAATTTGTAGAGCTGCCAGGTGCTATGCAGCAGTTGGTAGTGAATTTACAACACATGAAAATTTAGGTTCAGGTCAACTTCAGTCTGAACATAAAAAAGTAACTGAACAAAAGTGCTGTCAGTATTGAAATTTCCACAAATATTGTTAGCCCTTTGTGTCAAACTGGTGCTCAGTTTGGGATCTTATTTCCTTGTTATTGATAGTGGCTAATTAATTTTACCAAACTTGTCTTTCTGACTCCTCTAGGTGAGAGCATCCTGTCACTGCTCCAAAGCCTTGTATTTAACCCAAACCTCAGCACACAAGAGTCGAAGGATCTGTTGGCTTGGGTGTTGAGGGTAATTATACATTTGATTTTTTTCTGTAGTACCCTTTGGCATCTTTTTGCAAACTTACTAAGGTTTGATATTTTTTTTTTTTTATTGAAAATTACTTAAGTCAGATTGGTCATGTATGTGAAGAAGTTTTATGGAGAGAAGTGGGTGGTTGGCGGATGCTCTGGTGTGGTTCGCTCCTTTTTTCCTATCAAACATCTATCGTCCTTAGCTCTCCTCCTTTTTTTTTGTTTGTTACTGTCTTGTAACACCTCTTATCTTCGGCACATTATTGTGTTGCAAGTGCAGTAAAACTCTTACTAAAACTAAGGTAAAGAGAGAACAGGAACTCGTGTATGAAGCAAACTTTTCACAACACAGAACTGCAGGTTACTCATTGTAATTATAGTGTAACTGTACCAGAAAGTAGACCTACTTTTGCCAGGAACAGAGGAGAATTGCAGATGTACTGAGAACACATTTTAACAAAAGACCACACTGCTGGTCTGAAAATCACATGCATAGAGTGATGTGTCAGTGATCATTTAAAGATCGTTTTAGAATTGCAGTTAATATATATTTTGTGGAGACAGTTGAGGTTTTACGGCGCTCACAACTGCATAAGGTCATATGAGCGCCAGAAGATTAGAGGTGTTACAAGAGAGTAACAAACATAAAAAAGCAGGAGAGGAGATAATGACAATAGATGTTTGATAAGAAAGAAGCAGCAAACCACCCCAGAGCACCCGCCAACCACCCACAGATTAGGAATAAAGAATAAAGAAGTTTGAATGGAGGTAGGTTGTTTTTTTCACTAAAATGTACCACTCTTCAAGTATAACTCTGGTGCCATCTGAAGAAATAGAAAGGCCTGCTGCTTGGGCAACTACAGTAACAACAGCTGCATGCTTAAAAGTGTGTTAGTTCAGTTTACATTGTCAAAGGATCTAGATTTCAGGACTTCTGATTTATGCATTGTCTGTGGTCTTTAACAGTGGGATGTTTTTTGTTGAAGATTCAGGATACCACAAATAAGAAGAAGAGTTGGGTAGTATGCTTACAATTTGAACTGGGATTGACAAGTGTGAAGTAAGAATATATTTATTTTCGGTGAATTTTGTGTTCTAGATTTTCAAACCATTATGGGTTGTGTAGTATGTCAACATTTGAATGTTATTTCTCTCCCTGACAGAAATTTGCTGAGGCCCTCAAAGTCCTCGATGAGCCAGTAGCTAAAGAGCATGTGGACAGCATTGCCAAATGTACAGACCTGCGTTCAGATGCTGAACGCAAAAAGCGAGCTCTGGCTGCAGCCAAGCGAAGGGCCAAGGTCATGGCTCAGATGGCCAAAATGCAGAAAGACTTTATTGCTGAAAATGCTGAACTGTTTGAGAACACAAGCACAGAGGTAAGAGTCAAGCTGAGGGAACAGGTATTATCTTTGTCTTTGCATGACATGTTATATACAGACTCTTTCATAAAGGAGCGATATATTTTTTATTTTTTCATTCAATATCCAATATTTCAGCATTTTAGTCATATATAAGTACAAAAGATGATTTTACGTATATACCCTCTAAGGTGTGATGTCTTTTTTGGTTCAGTTTAAAAAAATGATTTTTAGTTCTTTCATTTCAGGATTTTTCTCTCACCAAAAAATGCACCACCACGGTTGTGGAAAGTTTGATAGCCTTCAGTTTGCAAATGTTTGTATTTGTGCATTATGGGCCTTTGTTTTCTGGTCTTTATCTCAAGTCCAATCTAAAGTCAATCGAAATGCCGGTTGGAATTGGAATTGAGTATACACTAGATGTCTCTGTTCTGAAGTTAATGGCATGTCAGGTTTGAAAGTGGAAGTTCATCGTCCCAAGTTGGAATTTTGTCTTTATTTTCAACCCTTGAGGATGGATTTGTACTTGTGTTCTTTATTTTATGTTCCCTATGTTTGAATCCCTAGTCAAGTGAAATGCCTATTGAGATGGAAGTTGGGGATCTACCAGCATCCAGTGACGATACCCTCATCGCCCTGGGCCCCCACCAGAGCTCCCTGAAGGTTACAGGCCCGCTCTCAGTCACCTGCATCCTGTGCCAGGAAGAGCAGAGGATTTCTCACTCAGGTCGTGCCATGGTGCTCTCCGCCTTTGTGCAGCAGTGAGTTTCTCATCAATTTATTTTGTGTGTAGGTTCAGCCAGTAAGAGTAGCGACTTGTCAGAGTGTGGAGAAAAAATAGTCATATGTTAGTGTTTTTGTGCCCAACTCTCAAAGATAATGTTGAGTTAAAGCATTATTTGGCTCAGTTGGTGCAGGGGTGCTTTCTGTTTGTTGTTTTTTTTTGGTAGGATGATATTTGTAAGTTTCTGTAATTTGTAGGAAGATAAAATGTTCGGGAAAATGGTCTCCTTTTTCTTTTATTTGGGAATTTTTATTTTTCTCAGAATGTCGCATTAACATATCCTTCTGTTGTTTCTATTCACGTGCATTCTCTTTTTCAGCTCTGGAAACTATAATTATGTCAAAAATTCAAAATTATTCTCTGTAACACAAACAGACAACTACCAGCCTAATAACTTGTGTGTGCGTCTTCATGCTCTTTATTTCACAATCAGTATTTTGTATAAATAACCCAACCTCTTTGCTTTATTCTTCTGCATTGGCCATCTTAAAGACCTCATCATATATAATCTCTCTGACTGCACTGTGTTCCCCAGGTCCACTGTGCTGGCTCAGCACAAGCGCGTACACTTGACGGGCAAGGAGGAGCATGACCCCCTGTTCATGCCCTCTGACCTCAGCAATGGAACTCACACCAGCTCCTGTGGGCATGTCATGCATCATGAGTGCTGGCAAGGGTAGGCTCTTTGTTCATGATATGAAAGTGGCAGCTCGTGTGTGCACTCTATTGGTATTTGCCTTCCTTTACTTCTTGTCAGGGTTACTGTTGTCTTTATCTGTTCCCTGGTGATATATCTGCCTTCTGTCGGAGAAAGAATGAACAGTTGCAAAGGCTGATTTTTCCCACCTTTACAATGTCACTTTTCCTCACGAGGAAAAGGTTTATAGCACCATAGAAATAGATTAATTAACGAAACAGACTTGTACCAAGTTTTATATTTTGGATGTTTGTCTTTGTGATATGGCAGTTTTACACTAGAACTAGACACTGCTGAAGTTGAAAAGGCAGAAAGAGTTCTTCCTGTGTTAAAAAAAAGGTATTGAGATCTAAAAGATGAAAGTTTATCAAAGCTATAGGAACAGTGGCCTGTTTTAGAATCAAATGAGTACTTCGTGGATGCTCTGTTGTTTTCTGATTCTTATACTTTATTCCGAGGATGCTTTTGTCTTAACATGTTTTGTAAGTAATGTTGCCATTTTCATGCTGATGTGTGGTAAAATTCACCGCGAAAACAAAATACTGCATTGCTTTAGTGTGACAGTGTATCCTGTAGAATGATGTTTTTTTGCTTCGTTTCGTGTATGTTCCCTGAGTTTTTTGTAGTTATGTGTAAGTAGTGTATTTGTCATAATGAGAGGGAGAGTAAGTAGATGAGTTGTAGGAGGAGAAAAAGAGCAGTAGGCCTACAAAGACAGAGTGGGAGGGAGATTGTGATGGGTTGATGGGATAATGTATGTGAACATTGTGTTGTAGGAGCTGGTGAAAGCACACTGTTAGCTTCTTGTAATGAGCAATCATAAAATATATTTCATCTTATGTTATTTTTTAGTTCGTGTGTCTTTTTCAATCTGCAGGTTTTTTACAAACATTGTGAACCGGGAACGGCGCCGTCCCATGCGCTTCAGACACAGTTTCAGCTACGACATTGACCGCATGGAGTACCTGTGCCCTCTGTGTGAGGGGCTCAGTAACACGGTCATCCCTCTTGTACCTGCACTGCACACCTTGGTCAGTGACAGGTAGGTTACGTGGCGCTGAATGCCATTTCTTGTTATTTTGCATTGATTCTGCTATTTTTCTCTATGATGCCTGACGTCACATTACGACAGTGTTACTTTAAGCATGTCATGGGGCACATAGTTTATTGTCTCAGGACATGAATTGCATATCAGTAGAAATATGTTATTTGTTGTTTTTATATCCAAGATTATCCTTAGTTTACTTGAATTATAATAGTGAAAGCAACATTTGTACCTTATCTAAGGCTAGTGGAACATTTTTTTGCTGGTCAGTTTCTGAACTATGTGTATGAAACAATGCAAATTTTATGTCTGTATGTTGTTTAGGGATAAAAAGACAGTTGAACTGAAATTTGACGACTGGCTGGATGGCATCCAGAAAACTGTGGTCAACAGCATTAAGGAGGCAGAGGACAAGGAGTCCAAAGGTAAAGCGCTTCCTTGGGTTGCACTAATGGGGATGGCAGCCTCTTTGTACTATAGGAGTTGATAACAGAGTTTCTGTTTTAGATTTTGGTGTCAGTCAGGACAAGCTGGTGTTTGGAGAAACACAAGATTGTTTTTCATTTATGATGTTTGATTTTTTAAAAGGTTTCTTTTTTATCATTTAGTATTTATTTATGTTTTCCTTTGAACTTCAAAGTAATGCCTATCTTTAGAACATTGGCTCTTTTGGTAAGGTAAGGCTGTTAACAATGGGATTTGAGATACAGAATACATTTCTTTATTTATCCCTCCATGCTAATTTTTTCCACTTTTGTGTTTGTCCTGTGGGAGGGGAGGGTGCATGTACCAGCACCCTGACATTTTGTGTGTTTGTGCCAGTGGATTTAAGGTGTTGTCTACTCCTATTTTTCCTTTCTTTATTGTCCACTATTGTGCTGACTCATTAAAAGTGCTTTCAGTATGGCTGTCTTAATATCTTTTGCCTATCTTTTAAATGTCCTTATGCAACCTATAGTGCTTTATTATGTATGGAATCTAACCTAACCTTACAAAAATGTTTCTCGTTGCCAGATGACCTGCTGCTGTTTCAGCCGTGCCCGATCTCCACCATCTCACGCATGATGGCCGAGAGTGTGGCCAAGAACTTCCAGCTGCTGTGGGAGTACGTCTACGATGACGCCAGGTGACCTGTCCTGCTCTGATGATTAATTTTTGTTTTTGCCTTTTATAGATAATATTATTGAGGGCAAATTAGGACACTACTCCGAGTTAAGATATAAATTTGGTTTCCACATAAGGAATTTATGTTATAGTGTCTGTGTCTTGTCTGCTGGGATGTTGTATCCTACTCGGCTTGCGTTGCCCCTAGCAAGTGTGTTTTAAGTAGCCCACTACTTGAATGATCTAAATTGTGTTGGTGGTGGTCATAAAATGTTTACAACCAATCAGTCAATGGACAGGATATTGGTTGCACAGGGAATGTATCATGTACATGTATATAGGTTGCAAACAGGGTATTGCGCTGTATTTCTTTTCAGCTCAACTGATTTTTCTTTCATCTGAAAGTGACTGCTGGTTAGGGGTATTCAAGGTCTTTGCATCGAATAATGTTTAAGAGATTAGATGTGGCCTTTTCATTCCACTTTTTTATTTCTAGATTTGTTCCTTAGTGTTTTGGTAATCTGGTGGTTAGGCCATTGGCTTTTAGTCTTGAGATTGCATTTTTTTTTAGGCCAAGGTTCAGCTCAGCTTGATGTTTAGTCTTTGGGAAAGGCATTATACACAAATTTTCCCATTTGGCTCGATTCTATTGAAGATGGATGTTAAATTTAGAGGTCCAGCCTCTTAAATTACCTAACAGTTTTGCAAAAGGCGTTAAACTCCCACTTTTTTTTACATATGTCAAATGTCAAATTCAATCCACAGCTTTGAATTAGTTCAGTCACAAAGGTGCTGGGAAAAGACTGACATGCTTTGCATACATATAATGAAAAATTGTGCATTTGTATGATATCAATTACAAGACACCACTGACATTGATTGAAGCATCTTCTGTTTGAAGCTCCTGTTTTTATTTTGTTTGCTTTTTACAAATTTTCTTCTGTTTTCTTTTCTCCAGTGGTTGTTTCTCAGAAGGGATGAGAGAGATGATCAAAAAGTTTGCCAGAGATGTTTATGCTGTGAGTATTTATAGTTATATCTGCTCTTGGTTAAAGTAAAAGTGGTACTTTGCATTTCTCCCTCCCTTTATTCCTCTGAGAGAGACATACTGGTGCACACACATGATGCTTGCATGCATCTCACACTCTTTAAAAGAGAGAGAGAGAGAGAGTTATGTACATGGAAGGTGTGAGGAGAGAAAATCTGTCTGACTATGATATAATCAACAAGTTTTCCTGTCCAGTATGTCAGTGTAACTGCCTGGAATTCTGAAGCTCATAACTGTCTTTAGTACAGAAAAAGTGTTGTATAAGAGACATTTTTCCTGAGTCAAATGTATTTTTTTAAAAAGCCAAAGTCAAAAGATATTTTGTAACCAAGATACTTTTCTATGATTTGTGCATAACTTTGCGAAATGTGGTTGAATTATATGTAGGATTCTAACATGAATGATTGAACATTTTCTTGCTTTGTTTTCTTTTATTTTTACCGGAAAGTAGAAAATACGTTGCAGGTGAATCCTGTAACATGTTTCATTTTCTTTATCATGTTGATTGTTCTAGTTTGGTCTTGGAGTGGAACCAGACGATGAAAACAGCCGAGTTCCTGTGATGGCCTGGAATACCTGTGCGTTTACCGTGCAGGCACTCGGTCAGTTGTGGCTTGTTGTTTTGTTGATAGTGAGCAGTGCTCATTCAGTGGCGTCGTTGGCCTAGTGGTTAGGCTACCGGACTCGTAATCATGAGGTTGCGGGGTCGGGGGTTCGAGCTGCAGGCCTGACGTTGTGTCCTTGGGAAGGACACTTTACACTAATTTTCCTCACTTCACCCAGGTGGAAATGGGTACCTGGCCATAGACAGCGAAAGGTCTTGTCAGTATGTTAGTGTTTTTGCGCCTATAAATGGCTGCTTGCACTGTATGCTTCCCAGGAAGTTGAGTTTGTTTCAGAATGCTCTCCGGTCTGCAGGGGTAATAGTATAGATTGTGAAGCGCATAGAGCTTGCTTTTGAGCGGGGATTTGCGCTATACAAATGCTATCTATTATTGTTGTTATTACTACTCGCGATAGCTTGGTTGTGAGAACATATACTATGGTTGTTGGAGTCCCTACTAAATGCAGTGTAGGTGGTTAAAAGGGTTGAGTGCTTGGTTCACTGGACTTGTCACAGGGATAAGAGGAGATGTTTCTGAATAAACTAGAAAAATATTTCAAACTTTTCTCTGATTTAATCCTGAAACTTCCGGGAGGCAGGTCAAGGTCCTAACCCTTTCCCACAGTGACTGGTAGTTGTATGTGACTCAGAATGTGACAGCACTGTCATGTAAGCAGGGTGTACACTCTAAACCCATAACAAGCCTAGGTCACTCCCATCTACCACATATTAGGGGGGGGGTTACTGATCAGGTTTTTGCCTTCAGATGGTCTAGGGGTGGTTAAAGGGTATATCTGGTAGGTCTTATTTTTTTTCTCTCTCGTATCTGTTTTGCATTTTGTACTAAACTCTTTCTCTGCCCATTACCGATATATCGGCACAAGGCTATACTCAAACTTTATTTGTGGGTGGTTAGCGGGTTCTCTGGTGTGGTTTGCTGCTGCTTCTTCTTTCCTATCAGACATCTATCACCCTTATCTCCCCTCTTTCTTTTTTATGTTTGTTACTTTCTTGTAACACCTCTAATCTCCTGCGCTCATATGACCTTATGCAGTTGCGAGCGCCGTAAAACCTCTACTAAAACAAAACAAACTTTATTTAATTCGTAAATACTTGATCCATAATTTTAAGTTTTGATATAAACAAATCTCAAAAGTAGAAACTTCCTGCAACGAAATATAGTGTCTATAACTACGTAAGAGGGTGGAAATTGAAATTGTTGAAGTATTTTGTGTGGTGTGTTTGTCAAACCGAAACACGAAAGATGATCACACCAATTTCTAGTTCTAGCTATGTTTTCTGGGCCTGGTAGTAAACGACCCTAAAGGCATATAACTTGTAAAACAGACTAGGGAATTTTTCTTTAGTAAACTTGAGGACAGAGATGATATTGTCTTAGAATCCTTAGCTTTAGATTCTGATTCGGCCGATGATTGAATCAAGAGTGAAAAGCATGAAAGACATAATTCGTAGATCTAAATCTACAGTGACAGCAAAGAGGATAGATGGAGATAGGGAAGTGAGTGAATATGCTTGGAAATGGAAGGGAAATGAGAAAGCCAAGAGAAGTGAAAATCAAGAGGATAATGACCTAGATCTAGGTCTAAATCTAAATTTAGACTTGGACAAGCAAGTGCAACTCGGGCGAATTCTGATTCTTTACATCTTTTGGTATTGTCACAGTGATGTTACAAAATTGATAATAAAATCTGCTAGAATTGCACAATTCCATACCTTTTTGCATGAACATGCAAGGAATTGAAAATAGCATTCATTTCATGAATGTAGGGATCTTTTTTTAAAATACAAATTTAATTATTTATATTCAAAGTCGGAAATTTAGTCTTGTCTTTTTAATAGCTCCCATGTGATGGATGTGTTCTCTAACAAGTATCAATTACAACCTTTGCCTAATCCAATATTTTTTTTTTACACATTTCAATGCTACTTTTTATTAACTTTCAAAATATGTATGACACTACCTACTTATTATTTCATTTTACTTATGAAAATCCTTCCCGAACATACACACCTATCATTCATGATCGGATGCACAGAGAAAATCGGTGAAAGCTGGTTTAAAAATGGGCAGAGAATGAGTTAATAGTATGTTTCTCTTAACTGAAAAAACCCAAACATCTAACAAAGATGTATCTTTTGATGTTGCATTTGGTCATTGTTAGCTATTTTGGTATCAGGGGCAGTAGTTCAACATTTGTTTGCAAATGAGTATTATCTGTGCAAAATGTTGTCTGCTTAGACTATCAGAGGATGTTTATTTTTTAAAGTGAAAGCAGTTATAGACCAATGGTGAAGTGTCATGTTGCTTATGTTAATAGGTATCGTCAATAATTAACAATTTTGATAAAAAGTCCACCCTTTTTTTCCTGTTTTACTGATTTCTTTACAAATTTCTATTGCAATATTCTGCTAAAAAAAATGTTTGATTCCAATCATAAGGCTTTGTTTTTAGAAAAACATTGTTGCAAAATGTGAGCTGCACTTTGATTTTTTAATTTTCTGTACAATTTTTTCAGAACAAGAGCTTGAGCGGGACAACTTGGCTGTTTTCGAGTCGATACCGGAGCGTCAGAACGCTCTGCTAGGGGCCGTGGTACGTTTTGCTGCGGTCACCAGCCAGGTGATGAATCCTGACACCATCAAACAGCATTGTATTCGACTTCTTTCAGGTGAGCCTAATATTGCAAAAGTGAACTTTTCTTATATTATTAAGTATAAATATATCGTTTTCCTGATAATGGCCTCGCAAGTTGGAGGAAATTTTTTTTGGGGGGGGGGGGGAGGGGGTGTTAATGCAAGATATTGCTTGCTAGCTAGATCGAAGAATACCCAGCTCTTGAATAGCAGAAAGTTGGAAACTTCACCCCATTTTTTAAAATTCTTTGTTTTACCCCTTAATTTACAGCATGTATCCAAATTGTTTAAAAGTTTACAGCTATTTTCAGTAATGTGAGCATGCTCGGATTTAATCCTCAGTAAAGTTATCAGCCTTTTTACTGCTTTGCTAGAGCAGCCATCATCTGCCTCCTACCTACGCATGAGTTTACTCTCTTGCAGGTTATTTGTAATGTTTTGAAAATTGTGGTAGACTGTCACACCCAGTGGGGATAGAGAAAGATGACATTTATGGAGCTCTTATTGTTAACTGTGACGATGGGGATAGACGGCAGTTGAAAATTACTAGTGAAAAATTCAATTTGGAAGCTACTTATTTACTTCTTTTTGGCAGAGATCGATTAAATTGATATATAATCTTCTGTCTCCTATTAACCTAAGCGCACATATATTTCTTTGATGAATATTTGAATTTTGAATTTTATCAGTAACAAGTTTGGTGTCTGTTTCTCTACCATAGCCCTGATCCCATCTGAGCTGGAGAAGAGGAACAAGGCCACAACGTGTCTGCTTGATCTTGAACTTTTCCACTATCTGGTAGTGCTGACCATGACCCTTCCTGCCCTCCATGCGGAACAGCAAAGGTCACACATCTCGTCGCTGCCCACTGGTGGGCTCAATGATCAGCATGCCTTACAGCTGGTCTTCACTGCCCACGTGGTGCACATCCTCCTGTGTTATGAAGCCCCTTGTGAAGGTCAGTCCTTTATGAAGATCATCGTGTTGGTTAAAGCTGAAGTGAAATGGGAACCTGACAGTCTTTTAGTTTGTATCTACTTTCGCTTTATGCAGAGGGATGAGTACAACTGTTCTAAAGATTTTAGTTTAGTTTTAGTAAGATTTTTTTTCAGGACTTGCACCTCATGTAGGTCTTATAAGTGTCTAAGATAGGTGTTACAAGAGAGTAACATACAAAGAAAAGTCCTGCTCCTTGCAAAATTTGGTAATAGCAAAGATAGTACAAGACAAGATGGGCCACTTCTCTCTTTGAGCCAATTAAAAAAGTGTCCTCAAAATTTGGTGGCGCCCTCTTCACAAAAGCGCACTCTTTGCGAACAGAGTTACCCTACTTGAGTTTTAAAAAATCAAAGTGAAACTAGCAAGTAAGTTTTGGGATAAATTTAGGAAGAACGCTTTTTAAAAATGGTTACGCTGACAAAAAACTTCTTCCGGAGGAAAAGGAGATGGTTTTCTTCGTTTAATTTGACTTTAGAATGAAGGGCGAGAGGATATTAAAATTAAAAAACCCCTAAAACTCCGCACTGAACGTACCCGAACTGCTGATGAACTTGCAGTCGATCTGCGCACGCAAGGAGATGCTATTCCTATTCTTCTTCTGGAAAAACGAAAGAGAGCTTCAAAACCGACTGCAGCGCCATCTGAAGCAAAGAGCATACTTCCTGCGGACACTTTTTAGGCTGAGTGGCCCATCTTGTCTTGTACTATCTTTGGTAATAGCCAAGTTCATTTCTTATATTGAAACCGAAAAAAAAAAATACAGTGTGACTGAGGTCTACAAAATATGCCTTGAAAAATGTTGTTACATAACCCTCTGTGCAATACATCACACGCTATAGGAACTGTAGAAGACCATTTTTGTTATTTAAATTGTTGCTAGAATATTGCTTTGTGCTCCATCAACATATTAGGGATTACGTCAAAAGTGTCTATGACAGTCACCCGTTATAGAGGAGAAAAGTGGCCATCTTTGATAGATAATGTAAAAAAATACATGTGGGGAAATGGGATATGCTGTTTGCGCAGGTGATTGTCTGATGTGGTGACCATTAGAGCAGATTCGACTTTAAAAAAAATTTTAATGTTTTGAATTGGTGTGATAGACCGATTTTTTTACCTGTGGTGACTCTTTCTCTTCATCATTCTGTCTGTCTGTCTCTGTTTCTCTGTCTCTCTGTGACAATTGCATACAACAAAGAACTGAATCATGTGTTTGTAGACCAGGCAAAAGCGTTTCCTAGAGTAGATAGAAACAAACTGTGGCAAACACTTGAAGAGTACAGCATTAGAATTAGGGGACAACTGTTACACAACATCAGAGCCATCTATACCAACAGTATGAGCACAGTCCGCACCCAAAACGGACTCACTGACTGGTTCAATGTGTCAGCTGGAGTGAGACAAGGTTGTGTGTTATCACCGCTACTATTTATGATATATATAGACAAAATTACAAAAGAAGCATACCCCAACCCGATAGACCTGAATGAGATGCTGTTTGCGGACGATCGAAGCCTGGCATATGAGAAGGAAGAATGACTTTAAGAGCACACAGGCAGGCTGAATACACAATGTGAAAAGCTCAACATGAAGATCAGTAAAAGCAAAACAGAGATGATGAAAATCAGCAGAATACCTGGCAACCTTAAGGTCACCATTGAAGGAAATCCGCTGAAACAAGTCAGCGAGTTCAAGTATCTTGGTAGCATCTTTTCAGAAGATGGACTTCTCAACAGAGAAATTGAGATGAGAGTACAAAAGGCTAACAGCGTCAGCTACCAGCTTGCCCCACTCTTCAAACATCCTAACATCCCCATTGAGACCAAAGCCAAGCTCATTAACTCTATTTTCATCCCCACCTTAACCTACCAGTGCCAGACATGGACCCTGACCAAAAGTCTGGGACGTAAGATAACCACCTGGGAGATGATATGTTTAAGGAGAGCAGTCAACAAAACCAGTCGGGACATGGTCAGAAACAACAAGATCAGAGAATAAATGGTGGGAACAACACCTGTCCTGTCCTCCCTAACATCCAAAGGCAAACAATCAGGTGGTTTGGACATCTCACACGTATGGCACCTAATCAGCTTGCCAGTAAAGCCTACTACAAGAAAGTATCAGGGTACAAGGCAAGAGGGAGACCAAGTAAGACCTGGGTCCAGGGTGTGAAGGATACCCTGAGAACATTCAATATCCCACCCAGTCAGGCAATCAAACTTGCTAGAGACAGGAAGCTCTTTCTCCCCTCGACGCCCTAGAGGTACAAGAGGACGGGTAAAGTAAAGTAAGTATGTAATTGCAATAGTTGGGTGTGAGGCTTGTAGTTGGTGTAGGTAAATGCAGCACAATGAAAAAAGTAATGTTACAATATTGTTTATTTAGGGATTCTTTTTTTGTTGCGTTTTTTTCAGAAGAAGAAGAGATGGAATCAAACTCAGAAGCAGCAGACCTGTTGGAGGTGTTTCGTAACTTGCGCTCAGAGGCTCGGTATGTTGGAGTTCTCTCTGTCTTTCTCTCTGCCTGCCTCTGTTCCTGTCTCTCTCTCTCTCTCTCTCTCTCTCTCTCTCTCTCTCTCTCTCTCTCTCTCTCTCTCTCTCTCTCTCTCTCTCTCTCTCTCTCTCTCTCTCTCAGTCTCTCTCCCTCTATTTCACTTTCTCTACTGTTTTTTTTCTGTGGGGTCTTTTCATTTCCTCTATCAATTTTTAAAAAAATGCTTCTTTCTGTGATTTTCTCAGTCTGATCTCTTATCTTTGTGTGTATGTGTTATTTAGTTTTGTTTTGATTTGATTTTAAGTTGAAATGACATTCTGATTGACATTGTGAGAAATGTAACGAAGAATTAACGAAAGTAGCTCACATGTATATTTGTCATCATGCAAATGTTTTTTGTTTCCTTTTTCTTTTTTTTCCTTTTTTTTGCTGTTATCTTCCTGAATAAATCTATTTTACAATCATTATGGGGGCTTGTGGTTGCAGAGTGGTGGACACTGCCTTGCCGGGCTCCCTGTCGCTGCTCCAAGATGTGAAGAATGCCTGTCTGCCGTTCCTGCGCTGCTGTGCCATCCTGTACCATCACCTGACTGGAGTGGCCCCACCTCCTCAGCTCACCAGTGAGTAGTACAGTCGAAATTGTGTTGGAGAGTCACCAATTGGTGAGAAGAAAAACGGCTATCTTAGACGGGTGGATGTCTTAAACAATGGTATTACGATGAATGTAAAAAAAAAAAGCCGCGCAGGGGGTGGGGGGGGGGATGGGGCTGGAAAGTGGCCGTTTGAACAGGTGATTGTCTCGTACAATCTCATAAAAGCAGCTTCGATTGTTAGACACGTTGGGAACAGTGGTTGGTAGTTGTTTGAAGTATAAAGATCCGAATGCACAACTAGACTAGAGTTTGTAATTGCGCTCACAAAACTTCAAAGATCTGTGTTACCCTTCGCTGTGCTGCAGAAGAGACCTTCTCTGCATAGCCATGTTTGTTTTTGTTTGAATTTAAGTCCCCTTTGAATGCAAATATGACATAAAAAAAAAATAATACTGTTACAGTCTGTTTGGCTAGATTGTTGTTGCACCAACAAGATCAGAGGCGTTCTAATTTGACTTCATGGCTTTTATCTGGCATTTTTCAGACTTCTGGGTAGCTGTCTCATAATATTTATGAAACCACGATTGGATTTGTGTCGTCTTATTTATTCCAAAAAATGTCTGATACAGGTAACAACAGCTTGGAGTTCTCCTACCTGTGTCGTTACCTGGCACTGCCCACACACCTTCCTGATCTGTTTTTGAAACAAGGGGAGAACACCAGCAACTTGATACAGAGGTGAGATACTTTTATTACTTTGTACTTTTGATTAAGGATTTTTTAGTGCTCTTTTCTTTGTCAATTTGTTGTAATGCTCTCTGTGACATGCAGATGATCTTGTGTTGCCATTGAAAATAAGGGTGGTTGGAGGATGCAACTGGTAGGTCCAACTTCTTTTTTTACCTCTGTTGTTTTTGTTTGTATGTGTTGCTTTTTCCCCACCCTAAATGGCCATTATTGTGTCAATGTGTGTTTCTTTACTTAACGACGACAACATTGCATTTTATTCTTGTATGAAATAACGATTATTGTGTCAATGTACTTCTCTTGACCCCAACAAAAACCGTTGAAAAATGTGAGATCAATTGTTCTTGGGGGATTAAAACATTTTTTTTTCACCAGAACATGAGCTGTCCTTTCTAAACTTTCTGGTGTTCCTGTTTGTCTTTTCTTGCTTTGTTCCTGGCTCTTGTTGACTGTTTCCATCTCCAGAAAAACTATAGAGACTTTCTGTGTGACAGTCTTTTTTTGGGGGGGTAAGTGTTTTACGGGGCTCGCAACTGCATAAGGTCATATGAGCGCGCGGGACACACCTAATATTTTCAGTTGGTTGGAAATTTTGAATTTTGAATTTTGCTCGGGTGGCGGCCAAAGCCTACTCTTGTCGATTTTAGACCACCAAGGGATCTTTAACGTGCGCAACTTACACCAGGGCCCTCCGAGATTTTTCGCCTTTGTCCGAGAAGGCTAGGTGTAGATCTTTCCTACCAGAAGATCAGGGGTGTGGCAGAAAGACAGCAGTAAGGAGGAGCCAAGGAGTAGCAGTAGAAAGGCTGCAGAAAGAGTCAGGAGCCCAGAGGAGGGGGCAAAGGAAGTGAGGGGATGGGGGCAGAAAATGGAAATGAAAGCAGACAACAGAACATTGCTTGAGAGCAGGAAAGGAGGTGAAAGGAGACAATTTTAGAGAAAAAAATGTTTCGGTCGCTACCCGGATTCGAACCCGGGACCTCTGAATTAGAGGCCAACACCTTAACCTCTAGGCCACGAGAGCCCCCTTGTGTCAGTCTGACTGCCCTTGTAATGTTGAAATAATAGGAGGGTGTCACAGGTATGTCCTCTTTAATTTTTTCCCCCTCCTTTATTTTTTCCAGTCTCTCTTACTTTTTTCTAGTTACTTCATATACTATGACTATTATCATGTTAGTGATGTGTTTGAGGGTGGTTACCAGGGGGCTCTGATGTGGTTTACTCTTTCCATTCCCGTCAAACATCTATCTGCCTTACCTCTATTCATTCTTTTTTTTGGTATGTTTCTCTCTAGTAATATCGCTAATCTTGGACACTTATCAAACCCATTTGTGTTGCATGTACAATAAAATTCTTAATGAAACCAGAATTTTGGTCAGAATGAAATGTAGTGACACAGCTATTAATTCACAAGGACACTGTGATTGGAGGACACTTGTAGTAAGTCTTACTTCTTTTCTTTCCCTCTGTTGTTTCTGTCCATCTTTCTTACTTTTTCCCTGCATGAAGTGACCGTTAGTGTGTTGATGTGCTTTTTATTACTCAAACTGACGGAGAAACTTTATGAGAACTCTCTCTTTGTCCACAGCTGGTGCAGTAGCCGCAGTGTGCGTGAGCGTCTGTCAGCCAGCAGCGAGCCCCTGGTCCACTACCCACTCAAGCTGAACCAGCTCATTGAACTCCCCAACGATTACAGCCTTCTCATCAACGAGGCCTCCACATTCACGTGAGTTTTGAGAGTTTTACAGCTCTTTTAACAGCATTCTAGGTTTTCTAAGAGTTTTGGCCAGTTTATGAAAGTCTCTCTGATTGGATGGATGATTATTATAGGGATTCAATGCCCCTTTTAACAATTTAAGATTATTTATGAGGTGAGATGTCCATCTCCCCTGAAACCGAAGTTTAAAAGAAAGCTGCTTTGGAAACATGAACCACGGCCATCTGCATCATAGCCCAACATGGTCTGATACCAACTGAGTTTAGGGCTGTCCTGATGGAATGGATCATGGTAGATCTAAGAGTCTCCCAAAATTTTTCACTCAGAGATGCACTTGGTCATATTGTTCCCTGTATCATAGTCCAGTGTTTTACCGCCCAAGCTAACCGTCTGCCAACTGCTGAGGAGGGTAAATGGTGATTGGAAGAAAGATTAAGTTGGAAAGAGTTACGGCTGGACAAGTAGAGTCTATCGGTCACTTGTCTGCATCATCATGGTTGATGGTTGCTGCTATAGCCTGCCATGCCACTGGTCTCGATTCTTTGTTCACTTTACAGACACCTACTGCATGTACTTTGTTTTTAGGTCCAGTCAGAGATATGTTTAAGTCTTTTTTTTTTTCTCCCTTGTATTTTGGCTTGTTCAACAGTCGTTATGATATGATAGTTGGACCATGTCTCTGTTCCTCCACGGCTGTTCTTGCTTTTATGTCCCATGGTCCATCAATATACATCACTTATATAAGAATTTTTTTTTCTGTCTGTCTCTTTGTCTTATAAATTCCAGGTGTTTTTACTTTGATATCAGACATTTCAATGAGCTAAAATGTGCATGTGACATGAATAGAACTGTAAGAGTGAACCACTACATTGACAGTTTTTGTCATTGCATCTTATGGTATAGATCCTTACCCTGTTCATTTTGTGGTCTGTATTGTCTTTCCCCTCAGTTTAGAAAAGAAAAGCAATGCTGTTAACCTCAAAGGGAAAGATGAAACAGTAGGTACTGTCCTTGAAAAACCACAGCTTTTCATTGGTATCCGCCCATCTTCATTCACTGTTACTTAAACTAAAACCTTTTCTGATCTATTCTGGGCAAAATATGGCAGTTGTAGTGCAAGCTGCAGACTACAATTGAATAATATCTTTAAAATCAATGCAAGCTTTGTTGGCTGTTCTGTTTTCAGTTGTCCTAAATCTGACGGGGACGACAGCCGTGCTCCGACTCGCTGCCTGGTGTGTGGCCGCATGCTGTGCTCTCAGAGCTACTGTTGCCAGTCGGAGCTGGAGGGTTCGCAGGTCGGGGCTGCCACAGAGCATGCCTACCACTGTGGGGCAAACAGTGGGATATTTCTAAGGTGAGTCTGTCCTCATGTTTCACGCTTTTACTGAGCCATGATTGGAAAGAGGTTGTGATTGATAGGTGCTCAAGAGTGAATTGCTCCTTCTTTTTAATGCTGCTTTCTTTTCTACTGGGTTCCTGGTGAAATGTGTCTGTTACTGTTCTGACTTACTGTATGCTGTAGCTTAACAGCAGCTATTAATTGAATGGTGACAACATCCAGGGGAGTTGGAGGATTTTTTTTTGGTGGACTGCTAATAAGTTCAGTGATTGAGATACTTGGGGTTTTTTCTCTCTTTCCTATTATGCTATTAAAATGTGTGTGTGTGTGTGTGTGTATGAAGGATGTTTTATACCATGGCCTGTACTTAACTTTGCATATGAAACATAAAAGTTTGCATGTTCCCAGAATACGTTGTCTCCAGCTTTAGAAATAGTTTTACCTGATTTATTCTAAAGTGTAAAATATTTATTCTTCTTTCAGATAATGTTTGGTCTCAAATCATAAATCATCGTTATAATGTTACTTTTGGATGAGATTCTAACTCAGCTTTGTAAACAAAAATATTGCCATCACTGATCAAGATTTTGTGCTTCTTCAAACAGAATATGACTTAACTGAAAATGGCAAAGAGCTGAAGTCAAAATAGTTTTAAGTATAATGGAAAATCTCTGTACAAAAAAAGTGTAAATGAATGTACTGTCATATTAGATCTACACAGAGCCCGTTATAAGTTATAAAAGCTGTGACAACACAGCAGCACCTGAAAGGTCGATAAAATCAGCCAATGACTGTTGTAGAGTTAATGTTTGTGTGATTTGCATCCTGCACCAACAATATAGTAAACCATGCGTGTCCTGTTGCTGAGCCTCAAAAAGAGCTCCCACCTTTATTAAAAGTTGAAGTGATTATTTACACTTTTTTGTCCTTTCAAATGAAAGGTTCAAACAGGTTCAAAACTCACTCGGGTTTTCTAATTATTCAGATTTTTTTAATGCTGTCAGTCGTTATATCCCTAATTTGTCAAAAAATAGCAACACCCACCTCAGCATTGAGACCTGGAAGATGAAGTATCTATTTAGAGGATATATCTGGCTGAAATCAGTTGGGTATCAAAATCACAATCTTACAGTTGCTAGTGAAAATGTCTTAAGCATGACTCTGTTCTGGTCGTGCAGGGTACGTGAGTGTCAAGTCCTCTTGCTGTCCAACAAGATCCGGGGCTGTTTTCTACCTGCTCCATACTTAGATATCTATGGGGAGACTGACCAGGGACTCAGGTAAGTCCAGGTCCACTTGTTTGTTCAATGGTTGAAGTGTGTGTGTGTGTGTGTGTGTGTGTGTGTGTGTTTTTTGTGTGAGTGAGAGAACAAGTAAGAGAGTTCTCTTAACTTTTTACTTCAATGAAAATAAATTGGAAAAGATAAAAAGTTATTTTTAATTTTTTATATTACAAGGGGAAGGTTGTTGGGTTTTTTTAAATATGTAAATTAGAAAGGAAACTCAAGATTTGTTAGTAACTTTGTTGATGAAAGAATTTTGGGGGGGAACTTATAGGTATGCTTACCCTAGACCTGCATGTTTGCCGACAATCGTCTGAAATCCGACAATCGCGCCCCCGACCCGCGAACCGGCCGATGCTATCGCTAGGCCCACCTGTATTAGTCAATGTTCGAGCCTGGCCGTGTGCCAGCGACCCCTTTTTCTCCCGTCGGCTTTGTCGGCACTTTCGTTTTCGTGTCGACTGCCGACGCGCGCACCGCCAACTGCCGACGTCGGCGTTTCTGACATAATTGTCGGAACCTGAGTACAAATACGAATACGAAAAAGTACGACGACTTAAATTATCTACTTTCAGTTTCTTGCTCGAGCGGCCATTTTGAATTTCATTTGTTTACTGATTGTTCAGATCATGTGGATTCTTTCAAGTCCGACTCACTTGTTCTACTCTAGATCGAGATTTATATAGATCATTATAGACCTCAATGGAGGATTCATATTCCAATTCTATTGTGTCAAACCATATTATAGGTTGTGCTGTAATATTAATGTTGGTAAAACGCATTTTATCAGGTGCGTGAATTATTTACTTAGAATAAAGATCTAATCTAGATCCAGCCCCCTAGACTCAGCTGAGTCCCTCTCTTCGGAATCGGATGCGGATTTCTCGTTTAAGGCCAAGATTCTAGATCTATTCCTATTCACTTCTAGATCTAGATTTATTTAGATCACTGAGATCTATATGGAGGATTCATAGATCTTTATCCAATTCTATTGTAGCAAACTCTTTATAGCAATGTAGGCCATATTATTTTTATTATAAATTATAAATGCTCCTTGTTTGTTTTGGAGTGTGCTTATTTCTTTTTTTTTTTTTTTTTGACTTGTGCTGGCCTTTTTACATGAGGGCCGTTGCAGGTTCTTTTTTGGGTTAGGCCTAGGGGTAGACCGATAGGGTTTGGGTTAGGGTTAGGTCTCTTCTTTATTGTGTTTGTTCGGGTGGTCGCTCGTTACTTGGAAATCCTTACTTTTATGACACCCACAATTTAAAAGCTCTAAAGTTATGGGGGGGGAGGGGTGCACAAAATTTTCAGACAATCTGGTTGAGGCTCACATGCAGGTCTAGCTTACCCCAATCAACTCAGTTCAAATTCAAACAGGAAATGTCATGTAAAATTCTCTAGCTATTTAGTAATAATCTTTTTTTTTTTTAAAGTTCTCATCTTGCTTTTCTCTTTTGCAGGTTTGACAACTTGTTTCCTGTTGTTGGATTTATCTAGTTCCTTATTTCATTGGGCTTCCAATTATACTCTAATTTTTTATCTTTTTTTTTTTACCACACTGTCAGGCAATGGTTACAACATTTTTGTGAGGTATTATATTCTTGTTAGGGGAATAAAAGTTTTTAAGTGGTGGTAAATGTCACAATCCAGTGTTATTCTCTGTCTGCAGGCGAGGCAACCCTTTGAGCTTGAGCCTGGAGAACTATCAGAGCATTCAGAAGATCTGGTACCAGCACAACATTCCCCAGACAATCTCACGCAGCCTAAACGGGGAGCCCAACACCAGCCTCCTCATCGAGTGGCACAACTTGTGAGCCAACAGCGCTGGCAGACCAGACGTCCCAGCCTGAGAGGGAGAGATGTTGTCTTGAGGGATGAAAAGGGGGGGGTGAGGAGTGTAGTAGGTTAGTGCGATCACACCTACAGGCTGGTGGAGGGGCTGCGTTGTCAATGTGTGAGATGGGAATCACTGAGTCTTGTGTTGGTGGAAGCCAGTTTGCAATGCCTTGAACTCTCATTTTGTTATTGGCTGATTGCTCTGGGAAGGCTTGAGAAGTGGAGTAAAGGGTTTTTTCTGTTTGTTCTGAATAATGGCATCCACTTCCAGGCTGTTTGCAGACTCTACTCATCATCGTGATAATCAGCGTCTCTTGGCCCTCTGGCATGTTTTGTGCCGGTGTTCTTTATTATTGAGATTCGGTCCTTTTGAAGTGACTTGCCACACATTTTTCGGAGCTCAGAGAAGTGTATAATTTTATTTTTTTGCTCATGGCCACATGTTATGATAATAATATATTTTTGGTTTGGTTGAGACCTCTTTCTCCCTACCCCTGTGTGCTGTAGAGGCTCTTCCTATCAGGGATGATATAAAAGTGCTGTATTGAAAAGTTTTATTGGTATACAATTCTGTTATTTATTTCCTTAGATTTTGAATTTCTCTTTGAATTGATTTGTTTCTTCTACTTTGACTTCTTTACGTATTGACATATTGGCTTTTGTATGTACAGAAGGTTTTTCTGTGTATGTGGATAATGATTTGTACATTCTGCCCTTTCAGACCCATAATTTCTTCCTCTTTCCCTACTTTCCCCATGTCATGTTCATGCAGTTCACCAAAATTTGTTTGCATTTATTATGTTTCATTATGGCATAACTGTGAACAGCTTGCAATTTCAAGCCTTTTAATTTATCAGCATGAGTGGGCAACTGTTGGAGGAGTACCTTAAAAATAACTACTACTTAGATATCAGGGTGGTTCCTATCGTGGTATGTATTACAGTTTGCCCAGTGCTAAGGGGTTGTGGCTTATTTTTTCCTAGTCTTACCCGAGGACATAGTTTTCTCGTAGATTGATCATCGTATATCAGTAAAAATGTTGTATATATAATGCATTTGCAAGTAAGGAACTGGAATTGAAGAAAGGTTTGTGTTCTTCTTAGAGGCCAAAAATGTTTTGTCAGATATGAAGTGCTATCTATCTATCATCATATGACAGGACATTGTGACTTTTAAGATCTTTCCCTCTTTATCTCTTGAGCCTTAAGAGTTCTAGCGTTGATAGCAACAGATTGGGTGATTAAAAGCTATAGGTTTTGGTAAGCATTCGAGGAATAAATGTACAGAGTGTAAAAAGTGCCCAGAAATTTATGGTAAATTTTTCTCCATAAAGTATTAGGTTAAGTTGAAGAGCTGGTCAGACTATGGAGACCGCAATCTGCCTTGAGCAATTCCTCAAAAGCGGGTCACTGCTGTCTCACTTATGTGTAAAACTATTTTTGTGTGGAAACTATATTTCCTTGACAGTATTTTCACATTTGAGGTTCACTTTTTGGCTGAAAAGGCTGGCCGGCTCTTATACTGAAGTCTCTACCTAAACGCACAGTTCTCGGGAAGGCTCCTTAGCATGTGTTTATACATTTACATAAACCATTGCAAAGGGAGGAAGGGACGCACTCATCTCATTTCCTTGATATTTTAGTGACCTCCCTTGGGGGGTGAGGGGTAATTATGGCAGACAGTATGACTACACGTGACTGTTTTGTGACGGATTTCCAACTGCGGTAATTGAATGTAAAGGCGTTGAAAGGGGGGGTAGGGGGTGGGCAGAAAGACGTACTCATTGTACTGATATGCACAAAATAATGTCGGAACAGACAAGAGGGAACTGTAGGTGATAGATCTAGTCGTAGGGAAAAGTGCTCAGCCCCGCGGCCTTCCAAGCAACCATTCCTGACAGCCCGTTATCTATTGCAACTTGATAAATGCATGGTTGATATCAGAATCAGAATTCCGAGAGGCTTTTTTTTTGTGATTCGTTGAACAAGTACGGTTTAAGTTCTTTGAGCGCAGCTGATTACTTGATCAATCTTTAATCCAGTAGATGACTATTTAGTGTTCTACAGCATTCTCGTGTGTTGCGTATCATAGGCCAACTAAACTTAACCACGTATGCAGTATCGTGACTCAACACCAGTCAGAAACCTCTCATAGTCAAAGACACATTTCGATGACCAATCAAAAGACATTTCAGTCCCTCCACCCCCAACATATCTCCCGACCAGTCCTAGACCTATGTGTCCGTGGACTGTTGGGTGTGACAACACTCTCTATCACTCTTTTTGTTCAGCGTGATGGGCAGTCTCTCCAAATATCTGGTTGTCTAGGCTTGTCTTTTGCTGGCTGTGCAGGTTGTAGTGAATATTTACTTTTGTCAAGCTTTACCTGTTGGTGTGGGCCGCAGATCGAAGCGTGTGTTTATTGGAAGCGACCATGCATTTGTACGTCTCTAAATTATATAGTGAAAAACCTGTCTTATAACGAAAGCTTGTGTTTGAGCGGAGTGTGTGTTTAGGTGGAGACTACTGTACTAGTGACTAATCTTGTAAAGATAAATATGCTCACATTCGATATGGTTGTGGCAGTTGGTTTCTAAGAAGAAATAAGAAATATTTCTGAGCATTAATCTTGTGACAACCCAACAATTTGAGTCATGTTGCATTTTGAAAACATAACGAATTTATAAATCATTTGTTTTTATCAAACTTAAGGTCTGTTCATGCCGTACGAGTGAGAGAAACAAAATCAATCTATCTGCTTTGATTCCAAAGTTATAATCACTTAATTGAGGTTGGGGAGTTGGAAAAAAAGTTGTTTCGAGAAAATCAATGTTTTGCCTGATATCTTGAAACAACTGAGTGTAACAAGTGACTCATTTTGTCCTCCTGCTGTACAATTGTCTTCTCTCTTGTTTTTGGGGGTTTTTTTTCAGTTCTTCGTGGGGGGTGGGGGGGGGGGGGGGGGGGGGCGGTTTCACAAAATCTGTTTGTCCGGAATTCAGGATTATAAATTACCTTTTAGATGGTGTTTTGTCAACATACCATTACGAAGTGCTCAGCCTTTTTAATAGCCAACAAGTTTTCTCCTTTTGTGCCCAGTGAATAAATGTTTCCCCAGAATAACAGTTAGTTTCCTCAGGTAGTCCAAGAGCTTTTCCTGAAACTATTGTTGATTTAGAATTTCGTCAGTTTGCTTATTAATATTTAGAGAACTTATGTCAGAGGTGCTCTCGTTTTTTGCTGGTGAACTGCGTCAACATTAAAATGTTTTGATTGGGACAAAAATAGTCTGATATTTTTTTATATTATTGGATAATTATTCCTATTGATTTTGTTGTGTCTGTCTTCTCTCCACCATATTATGTTGACTGTGTCTGGTGTACTGAAGCAGGTTTCTGTCCTTCCAGGAAGACTGCCCAATGAGAGGGAGAGTTTTTAGGTCATTTACTTACTTTTGAACCACATAAAGCTGCGTTTCTCAGAGTTCCAATTTTTCTCATAATTACTTTTCTTTTGCATCAGATTCCAGTAGTTCTTCATTGCCAGAACAATTAGATTTTTTTTTTTTTTTTTTTTTTTTTTTTCTCTAATTTCACCAGTGAACCTCCCTGCTTGAAACACTTGTGGGGAGTCTGATTCAGTAATTTTATTTACTCCAAGATCTAAGTCATCTTCAACTGTGCTGGAAATAATTGACACTGTGATGCTTTGGCATTTGTTTTTTTATTAATGCTGTTTGTACATGAATTTCTTCAGGGCACTCTCCTGTAACAAGTCATTTTTGACTGTACTGTAAGAGAAAAGACGCACATAAACTGAATACTGAATGTATGTGAATTCTGTTGCAAATAAGGTATAAAAAAATGTTTGTAGCCTATCACCTGTTTCAGTTTCCCGGATAAAAATCTGTACCTTCAATGCCACAGTTATCTTCCCTACAATGTCATTATGTCTGAAGTACAGGGGAGGGGGGGGAGGGGGGGTTTGGTCCCTCTCCAGTTGTAAGTTTCCGGTGTTTGGCTTGATCCCTAGTGTTGCCGTGAGTGTGTAAACAAAAGGTGTTGGTTTTTGATCTCTCAGCGAACCTTGTCAGATCTGCATGCCCTGTTGTTTTCTCATTTGATGTGAAGGGATGTTGAGAAGATGACAAATTTTTTTTCTCCCACACCTACCCCATTGCCTGTCTCCCATGTATACATGTACTATGTACATACATGCACATAAATGCACACACACACACACACACACACACATAACACAGACACTAACACACTCGCACACGCACGCGCGCGCACACACACACACACACACACACACACATACACACACCAGGTCCGTTTTGTATGGCCCCAGTACCTCCAAAAGCATGTTATCACAGCATGATTGTCTCTTTGTATATTCTTTGTATATAGAGAGAGACTTTGTATCCGTGTATTTTTAAAAAAGAGAAACTCAGTGAAGTAACGTGGAGAAGTTTGGTCTTAATCTTAAGCAAAAAAAAGATTTGCTCCTAGGATGATCAACAGCTACGCCTGTATGCCTTGATTAACAGTTGTCCTTCCTAGTGACAACTTTTTTTATTTGCTTGGTTAAACTGGTCGTTAAGGTACCGTAATTATGTGTGACTATACCATAGTCACAACACAAGTGCTAGGGTTGTGTTTTTAGTGTTGGAGAAACTCGCATGAAATGTTTACCTTCAAATCACAGTAATGTGTCTGATTTAGGTCAAACAGGACATAGAAATTTAGGCAACTTTTTACGAAACAGTTTTGCTTTTTTGTTTTAGTAAAAGTGTTACAGCACTTGCGACACAATAAGGTCATATAAGTGTCGAAGATCAAAGGTGTTACAAGGTAGAGTAACAAACACTGAAAAGGAGAAAGAGAGATTAGGATGATAGATGTTTGGAAGGAAAGGAAGAGCAAACCACAACAGAACACCCACAGACCACCCACATGAAACTGCTTGTGCAGTGTATGGGCGACATCAGATACTGATACATAATATGTCTGCTGTGGTTTACTTATAGATACCTGATACACCCTTAGAAGTAATCTAGGCACTTGTGTTATGACTGTAAAGGACAAATGAGGCTGCTTTTCTCTTTTTATATATGATGAAAATGAAAGCAGCTCACCCAGTACTGTGGCCAGTAGGTGGGGGGGGGTTTTTGGGGGGGGGTTTGGTTATCTTTGGATTGAAGTGATCTGAATAAGTGGGAAGGTGTTACTTTTTAATTTGATTAGTTTGAGGGAGCACCGTCAACTACTCGTGGGTTTGGGATTGTTACTGAAGAAGAATTTGTTGAGATAAAAAAGAGGCTTACAGTTTTGTACAGTTACGTCCAGTGGTCACAAATGGTTTTGTCTTGTCAGCAGATATTTTGTCGGTTTTTATTTTTAGCTGTGCTCATGTGAATTGCTGTATTGATTGATCATGCCCAGTCGCATTTTCCTCATCAGAAGTTTGCAGAGTAAGTCGGTGTAGTTTGTTCTTAAAAAAGAAACAGAAAGGTACGTCCACAGTCACGTAACAATAAAGTGTAAGTTCTCTAACACACTATGTACAGGCTTCTGTGTTTTCTTTGGATTTTTTATTTTTGAAGGTTCCACACAAATATGAAACTTTACATAATATGTCTTCTTTGACCTAAGTGTGAAGGCGGAGAGTTTTGAAGCCTCTGTCAAAAGCCTAAAGTCCAAAACGTCCCATTTGTGGATGAACAGGCTTCTGTTTTCTATGGCTTTTTTTTTTTTTGAAGGTTCCACACAAATGAATTGGGTGGTTGGCGGGTGCTCTGGTGTGGTTTGCTCCATCTTTCCTGTCAAACATCTTTTGTCCTTATCTCTCCTTTTTTTGTACATGTTACTCTCTTGTAACACTTCTTTTCTTCAGCACTTACATGACCTTATTGTGTTGCAAGTGTCATAAAACCCTTACTAAAACTAAACACAAATGAAATGTAAAACTTAACATATTGTTTTTTATTTGATCTAAATATTGAGATGGGGAGATGTGAAACCTCTATTAAAAGCCCACATTCAAAACGTCCCATCTGGGAATTGAAATAAGGGTCATCCACACCATGACTCAGAAGATACGTACGTGTGCAGTCGAGCCGACGGAGTTTTCTGTCTTTAATGTTTGTAGTCGTCTACACATTTGAAGAACTTTGAAACTAGCCATTAGACCAGTATTTGCCATGCCAACGTGGGCGGTAGTTATTGGTATTTTGGTAGGCGGTGGGGATCACAAGGGTTGTGACAGGTGTTATGCAGTGTCCGTCTAGGAAATATGTGTAGGTGGCCGGTATGAAAATGTTAGCCCCTGGCCTTTAAGTTAAAGTTAAAGGTGGCAGAAATGGGCGCTGGTGATGAGCGGTTGACAAGCACTGAAGAAATAGACCCTTGTTCTCAGGCTGGATTTCATTTATCCCCCAAGAACGGAGATGCTTTTTTCTACATTCCTTTCGCCCACACGCAAGGATGCCCTTAGGACTCTTGTCAGAACAGAGAGGAAACATGATACGGATAATAATCATTATCATAACACGATAACCTGAGAATATCTAACTCCTGCGCCTAGCAAGGATAAATTGGTGCATTTCTTTTGCACCCCACATAACCACACGCTGACGAATGGCGTCACAGAGAGAGCTAAGATACAAACTGTTACCCTCCGACGAGAATTGGACCCACCTGTATTTGGCGTAAGCTTTCCTGTAAGCTGGAACAATCACATGAACGAAAATTTGTGGTTATGCAAAGCCCGCGTATTACTGTCTATCCCTCCCCCTTCTCTTTCACTTATTCTTTGTCTGTCTCTCTGTCTGTCTCCCTCTCCCCATGACTCGCCCCCCCCCCCCACACCATTTCTCTCTTTCTCTCTCCCTCTCTCTCTCTCCCTCCCCCCCTCTCTCTCTCTCTCACTCTCTCTCTCTCTCTCTCTCTCTCTCTAAGATCTCTATATAAAAAGCTGCGATCACTCTGTAAATTCGCAACTTCGCCATACTGTGTACCCGTGCCCTTTCCACCACCTTTTTTCGAATCTACCTATTAAAAAAAGACAAGGAAATAAGGAAATCTATTCTCACATATTCATCCTTGCTCGTTTTGTTGTTGTTGTTGCTGTTTTTGTTTTGTTTGTTTCTTTTGTAATTTTGAGAAAAAGCTCAGGCTATGTAATGAGGAAATTAACCCAGAAAAAGACTTTTTGTACATGATATTTTTTCTTTTCTTTTCACCCCGCCCCCCCCCCCCCCCCCCGCAAAAAAACCCCCCACCCAACAACAACAACAAACAAACAAATTTTAAAAAACAACCAATCAAACAAAACAGACAAACAAAAACAATCCCAGAATCTATTGCAATAAGATTTTTTTTGTTGATAACATGGAAACCGTGCAAGGAAATCGGACAGCTCTGGGACTCCAATTTTTAAAGACTTGCATCCTGAAATGTTCAGTACATGCACTGTGGGGCTTCTATTTTCGTTGCTGAAAAGACTTTAGAACTTTCTGCACTCTGCGCCGAAGAAAAATAACAACGCTACAATTTGATCATATTCCCTTTAGAACTTTAGCATTTCAAAGGGAAAAAAGGCGCCCCTCCGTGATTTTGCCACAGGCAGAGAGTAGAACTGAATAACAACAACAAATAGACATTGATTTGTGGAAGGCTGGCCGATAGTGACAGAGAAAAGGGAAAACAGTTGATACGGCCTCAGATGTGATGTCTAGTTACTTACAATTCGCGCTGAGGAAAAATTATCTGGAATTTCAGGTTGCGCAAGCCTAGTTGCTCGACGGGTAACATTGACTCCCTTTCTTCTCTCTTTTAAAAAATGATTTTCCTGAAGGGTTTTTTTTCATATAGGTGTTTTACGCCCCCGTTGGCGCCATTTGTTTTTTTAAGGAGGCGGGCTTCAGCCTTGGCTGGAGAGGGATACAGCATCCCTGCAGAAAGCCTGTCCAGTTGTTTATATTGTCACCCTCGTTTGTCTTTTGATAGTTGGTATATGTTTTCTACTGACCACAGTGAAGAGACGAAAATTAAAATGGTATGGGCATTTCACAAGATCCACAGGACTTGCCCAAACAATCCTACAAGGAACCGTACAACGAAAGAGAAAGAGAGGAAGGCGGAGAAGGAGATGGGAGGCCAACATACCAGACCATCAATGATTTTTTTTTATAGAGGCCAACATCACAGAGTGGACAGGGAAGACGATGGGTGGCAATCTGAAGAAAGCAGAGGACAAAGAAAAATGTCGAGAGCTGGTTTTCAGATGTAGTGATGCCCCCACGGTTGCCCCAACCACGGGATAGAAGAAGAAAAAGAAGATATGTTTTCTCGGACGTGTGTACCCATCGTCATTCGTTAGCTTCTCTTCATGTCTTTCTGTACTCTGCGTTTCTATGCTTGTCCTTTTCTCAAGAGTTTTTTTTTTTCATGTAGGTGTTTTTAACATGACGCGATTTGGTTTTTAAAGAGAGGGATAGAACATCCCAGCAGAAAGACTAAGATACTCGATAAAATTGTCCCCCACTAGGAATTGAACTGGGGTCACCTGCGTGCGACGGTGAAGCACCTAACTGCCTCTCCACAAACACCGCCAAGAGAGCTCTCGTGGCTTAGAGCTTAAGGTGTTCGCCTCTCAGTCAAATGTTCCGGGTTCGAATCCGGGTAGTGACCGAAACATTTTCTTATCTAAAAATGTATCCTTCCCTCCTCTCTAGCATGTTCTGTCGTCTGCTTTCGTCTCCACTTTCCGCCCCACCCCCTCACCTAATTTGCACCCTCCTCTGGGCTCCTGACTCTTTCTTGCAACCTTTCTACTGCAACTCCCTGGCTCTTTCTTACTACTGTTTTTCAGCTACACCCCTGATCTTCTGCCTGAAAGATCTACGCCTAGCCTTCTCAGACAATTGCAAAAAATCTCGAAGGTCCTATGTGCAAACTGCACACGTTAAAGATCCGTTGGTAGTCTAAAATCGATAACAGTAGGCTTCGGTCGCCACCAGGGCAAAATTCAACATTTCCTACCAACTGAAAAAGTTTTAATGTGTCCCGCATGCAGTTGCGAGCGCCGTAAAACACATACCAAAAAAAACAAAACCAAAAACAACAAAAAAACACACCAAAAAAAACCACCGGCCTAATTAATTATCGTTCCTTCTGCATCGCCATGTACATATATGCAATCATAATTGGTCGCTTTAAGCACAAGGGGGCTATCCCGAAAAATACTGTTTTGAGAAAATCGAAGGTAAAATTTTTGTCCCTTGTTCAGTTTCTTTAAAAGACAAGGAGAATTTTCTCAGTAACTAAACAAACATACACACCAATGAAACCAAACTTTTCCTTTTGGTAGGGCAATGTCCACTTTTGGTGTAGGTCAATATATCTGGAAACCCCCGAAATCTGGATTAGCCCACTTGTCCTTAAAAGCGACCTATTTTCTGTTGGACGTCATGGTGAATGTTTTCCCTTGGTGTACATATTGTATGACATTGTGTGTGTATGTGTGTGTAAGTGCGTGTGTGTGTTTGTGTGTGCTCTCACATCGAGACATAGACAGAACGAGATGAAGGGGAAAGGGGAGAGAGAGAGAGAGAGAGAGAGAGGGGGGGAGAGAGAGAGAGAGAGAGAGAGAGAGAGAGAGAGCGTGTGTGTTTGTGTATGTGTGTGTTTATCAGTGACGAGGGGGTGGGGAGGCTAAAACAGAAAAGAACGGGGTTGGGAGTTGGGAGGGTGAGAGAAGAATATTTATAATAGATCTAATGAGCATGTTTTCGAGTTCTTTAGTCCGATCCTCACATCATTAAGCCTATGAGACGGACAAAGATCTGCAGCCACGGAAAAGCAACAAAAAAAAAGAGTAGATTTTAGAAAATAAATATGTCATTCGGGTTTCTTAAACCGAACCGTCCACTTTTGTAAAAGTGAGAGAGTCAGTGTGTGTGTGTGTGTGTGTGTGTGTGTGTGTGTGTGTACATGTGTGTACATGTGTGTGCGTGTGATTGAGAGACAAAGTGAGAATCTGCTCGCAAAGAAAGCACACACTCAAAGACATACAAACACGCGTTCATACAGAGAGACTCATACTCGCACACAGAGGAAGACTAAGTGGAGCTATAACTGCAGATGACGTGAGAAGACAGTAGTAGAGGAGGCGCGTTGCCGCTGAGAAACTTCTGCACTGCCTGATAATATTGTTAGGATGGATGTAAGGGCAGGAGAGAGAGAGAGAGAGAGAGAGAGAGAAAGAGAGAGAGAGAGAGAGAGAGAGGGGGGGGGCAGAGGAAAGATATGAGAAAGTGGGATGGGGAAGACATAATGGGAGGGAGGGAGGGAGAGAGAGAGGGGGAATGGCAGAGGAAAGATAAGAGAGAGGGGGATGGGGAAGAAATAATGGGAGAGCGAGCGAGAGAGAGAGAGAGAGAGGGGTGGGGGGGGGGGGGGCAGAGGAAAGATATGAGAGAGGGTGATGGGTAAGAAATAGTGGAAGGGAATGCAAATGACGTGAGAAAGAGAAGACAGCAGAGAAGGTGCACTGAGATA